TTCAAAAAGCGCAGCGAAAGCATGTCGCTGAAGACATGGTTTCCCGAGCTTCTACGGATCCGACCTTATGAAACGTATAATAACTGGCGACGAGACATGGGTTTATGAGTACGACATGCAAACAAGCTAACAGTCTTCAGAAGGCGTCTCGAAAACGAGCCGAAACCAAAAAAACCGCGGCAAAGTCGCTCCAAAATCAAGGTGATGCTGACAGTTTTTTTTGACTACCGTGGTGTGGTTCACTCCGAATTCCTTCCAGAGGGAGAAACAGTGAATAAAGAATACTATTTAGGCGTCATGAAGCGTTTGCGTGAGAGTATCCGCCGAAAACGTCCAGATTTGTGGCAACACAACTCATGCTCACACAGCTCATGCTGCACCATGATAATGCACCATCACACACAGCCATTATAGTGAAAGAGTTTTTAGCGAAAAATTCAACAAAAGTTCTCGACCAAGCACCGTATTCACCTTTTTTTTATTTCCCAAGTTAAAATTACCACTTCGAGAAAAACGTTTTGAGTCGATAGAAGCCATAAAAGAAAATTCGCTGAATGAGCTAAAGGCCATACCGCAAATAGCCTATGAAAAATGTATGGAAGACTGGGTGAAGCGGTGGAGATGTTGTTTACAAGCGATGGGGCCTACTTTGAAGGCGATAAAATAAATTTAGATGAATAATTTGTATTTTTAGTTTTATTGACAAATTCCCGATACTTAGTACACAGAATGTATATCCTTTTATACATTGTGGAGGAACGGATTTCATGTTTCTCAAATACATAGGGAGAATACTCCAACCTAAAGGTCAATATGATATTACATGTTAAAGTATTTCTCGTTGTCTGAACAAAGTTTACGTCACACTCTTAAACGACTATGTACTTCAGAAGAGCTCATATTAAATCTTTCAGAACGTCATGTACAATATCTCGACTTGTTTGTCTATTCACTGAGAACCGAACAATAATTCAGTTCAAGCCTGACTTTTATTGTTGTAACTTCATCATTCATGGAATAATGTTTGTGTTATAAATATCTTGAACTACATTTGGTTACTTTATAAAATTGATTATGATTGAGTTAGACAAGTAAGAGCTTATCAATGTAACATATCTATTGTTTAGCAATGAATGAGTAATTCCACGAACTGTCTCTTAAAAAGTTCGACTTTATAAATAATCGATAGTAAGTCTCTATTCACATTTCTATCAGTAGGTACCAATATACAGGTGCTACAGACAGATCCAGTCAAATTTTGGGAGCGTTGTTATATGCAGCCAAAAATAGACTTCATCATCATATAACATCCTTGGTATTGAAAAACCATTGTGAATTAGTTAACACTTTCTGCTATACACTAGGTCCATCCATAGGTCGCAGGTTCAAATGCGGCTCGAAGGACCATATGTAGAGCTAGCTCCAGCTCATAATATAATTAATAGCAATTTAGGAGGAAACAAGGTAAATGGTAATGGTATTAAGCTCGGTCGGTGGTTCATAGCGAACTGACAAAAAATCGAATAAAATGTAGACATATATGAATAGTAAAATACCGTGCATACATGTCTACTCAAAACAATGATGTCTTATATCTACTGTTAATCACGGTTCTTACATGTGTATGTATGTAATGTAGTTCACATTTGGTTAATGCTGCAAACTACTATACTTACTTACTTACTATACTATATACCTTAAAATATGACTATACCTTTCTTATTTTCTAGAGAATAATAGAGTTAATTATTTTAACAACATTGTAGTTATGACCCGAAAGGATTTCCAACAAGAAAGTAAAATTTTCCTCGCATTCATTTAATCATTGCTAACGTAATGTTTTCCTTCTTTTATAATCAAATCACGGACCACTTTTTCCATCAGTGTTAATACACTTATCCTTCACAGACCGTCACTTAGCGGTCCAGACGCCAGTACCTTTAATTATGTTACCCGGCGGGGTATTAAAAGCTTTCTGGTGTAAAGTAAGTAAAGCCTTTCTTAATAAAATTTTCTTGATAAGGTTATCGCTTATTGTGCTAACAATATTTCTGTAAAATTATTGATAACACTATAGGAAAAAAAAAACGTTTATTGCTGAATCTGATGTATATGAATAAAATGTGAAATTAACGGAAAAGTCTGTAACTTTGGCTCTGAAAACTGATATGACTCGCACTTGTGTTAGTTTTAAATTGTAACGCCTAGTCTACCATCTACGACCACAAGACGATCCTCAAAAAAGAAATGAATAAAAGTAATGCTAAGATTCACCTGACAATTTTTGACATTACAAACAAATGAGAAGAAGTTACCAGTTTGAAAAACACTCGCAACTGCACTGCAGTTCGCATGGTAACTCCTATCCTACCATTCAAAACCAACAATCACCAGCAAAAAAAAACAGTACTACGCCAGTCCTGCTTTCTAAAGATAAAATCTACTTTGAATATATTAGACAGTAGATTTTCGCTCTTTTGATAATGAAAGATTCTAGTTCCAAGATTTTGAAAGCTATATCCTCGTAGAAAAATGATAACCCATATAAACCACCGAACGTCATAACTAACTAGTCTCATAGGATGTGAACTATTCGCGCCTTAACAAATACTTTTCAAACAAAACACGCGAACACATACTTAGTGTAATGGATGCGTTTAAACAGTATGTTAAATAAATTATTCAAGCCACTTCATTACCGACACGTGTAAACCTTCCCAAAATAATGCCAGAAAGGTGTGAGAACAACATTGTGTAATACAAAAGTTTTGTTTTTCAGACTACTTTGTCACATGTTCGTGCCTTTCTATGAGTTTAAGAATTTCTGTTAAAAATAAGAGAAATTCATTGTTGTAAATGTGTTTGTTTTCGTTTGCATAAATATCCTTAATGGTTTTTTTTTTGGTTAAGAGAAATATTCATACTAAATAGCGAAAATAATCAAACGTCAATGATATAATTGACACTTTGTTCCTGCAGGTGATAAAGTCAAGAACACTATTTTATCACGAATAATATTGGTTTCATAACAGGTAGAATTGGTAGACACCTATACATATTTATCAAAAAATAAAAATCTTACTGGAGGGGAAACTCGAAACAAACCAACTCGTCTGGTCAGCGTGCATTGTATATGTTTTTTTTTCTGTAAGTATCGGAGCTTCCTACAAAAGTTTTGAATAGAATACGTTAATGTGGTGCTATTATGGCTTTTCTTTTACATGTAGTTAATCAGAAGAACTTCCCCATTTACAACAAAAATTCTGATTAGATTGACTTCTTGGCTAACCGTAGCATAATCTGTTCCAACATAATAAAAATGTCTTATAAGCAAGACATTTTCACCAGTAAACTAAACGCACAGTAAGAACACGTGAAACTCTAAGATGTATTTAAGTCAGTATATATAAACTTTAACAATATAAATTAGAACTTTATACTCAGTAGGAGATTGAAAACAACTTTTTACGGTACCAATTAAATAATATACAACTGCTGCTGTACATAAAAACTTCAGGGCCAACGAAGTATTTTCATCAACAAAAACTGTAAACAAATCGCTATACATTTATCATCTATCGAAAACAGACCTGTCACTGTCCCCTGTAATACACGACCACAGTCGATTGCAAATTGGCAACTCACTCCAATTTGTCATGTTCAAGCTAGCGTTAAGTGAATGCTAGTGAAGGTGTAAGCTCTATCCCGGAAACCGGGGCAATTGGTAGATTTTTATTGCAATACGGAAAGAAGAAGTTTGTTACAAATTTAAAATGAAACTGCTTTCATGTTTCAAAAATAACTCATAGTGCAAAGAAAAAAAATAAAATTAAAACGAATGAAGACGCTGTAATGTTTTTCCTATTAACAATGGTAACATTTTGACCGTTGGTGTCATTAGGCAGCGCCTTGTGGTTTTTAGAATCAGAATAATACCTATAACATTGACTGTGGCGACGTCCACATACCATGAAACAAATACATGTATTAAGATATTTCTTTAAATATATTCTATTCTAGTACTTAAACATTTTCGTTAATCTGATAAACCCTTTTTGTCGAAACACACAATAGCAATTTACAAAGACCCTTTCATGTCATCTGAATTTAATACATTTGTTATTCCCGGAGTGGAACATCACTAGGCCGACTTCAGATCCCATTAGAATTGGAAATGGAGGTTTCGTTTTACTTTATTCATTCGCCCTATATTAAATCTGCTGGTTTGCGTATTGTAAATGATGTTGCAAATAAGTTGAGGTTTAAGTTTTTAACGGCATCATACACCCTATGCCAAGTCTAATTTTCCAGTGCTGAAAACCCGAATATCCCGGATATATAATAAATGCATAATATGTTTAAGTTTTAGTTTTATTCCAGGATTAGAAATAACAATTGTATATTTTTTATAAATATACTGATATATATATATATTTTTTGCCACAAATCTTAGAAAGTTGTATTCAAAGTTAGACTTCATGAATACGCAGCAGTTGGTGGGTATATAAACTAGGTCTGGGTCCATTTCGAGGACCATTACTCTCCTGCTAGCTTCATGAATATACATACTTATCTTCTCTTTGTTTGGCTGATAGAATTGAGCTAGGAATTACCCAAAATCATTGTTTGTGTATATTTATATGCTGCCAAATTGTTAGCGGATCGAGACTTTATAACTTCGTAGATAGTTTTTTTTGTTATGTATCTAACTATGCTAATAGTTTTATTTTTGTTAGGATAGTCGAGTTTATCTCGTCTTAAACAAATCTAATTTAAACAAATGCGCTGCCTTGTCTTTGTATGTGAATCTTATTAAGATCTATTTCGATTTTCAAAAATAAATAATGTTTTCGTCATAAATGGTTAAATATTTACACTGTAACGGAATCAATTTGCGGATTCTGTTGGATTAAACAACATTGCTATCATCTTTAACAGGAGCTGGAACCTTTATTATTGTTGTGTTATATTATTAATGGAATGTTTTTCATTGTCTACAGAGGAGGAATGCTACCACTGCATGGCGAGCTTGGTGGCGTCCAAGGAAAAAATGTTTATCACGCAAACGAAACTACTCAACGAAGTCACATGGAAGACTGTTATGCAGATCGCTAAGAAACATGCCGTAAGTCTTAAGTACACTTTGTTATCATCATCATACTGGTAAACAAATTTTAATTTTGAGAAATTTACCAAAATATTTCGACTAAACTACTTCAAGAGTATTCTAAGTTTGTGCTGTAAATAGTCAGGAATCAAATAATCTTTTGTTATATTTCCGCTTAATAGACCATTTGGCTTCCATCGATCAACAATCCGGGTTATATTTAAAACATGTATTTAGTATTCAGTAGGCGGACTTAATGCCTAAGACCTTCTCGTCCAGTCAACATTTGGTAATACAGAGAAAAGGAGAATAGAATAGAAATAGGAGCACTTGAAAGTTATGGTGTATGTATATACATAATTTGTTGTCTAATATACAAATATGTATATATAGAATTAAAGATATACATAGAATTGATGGAATGTTGACACGGTACGGTCAGCCACGAAAGTTTAGACTTATTACTTAATATCACTTAAGGTGCCTCATTAATAATAATTTTGAGATCTCAGATTCAACAGATAATGAAGCAGTAAAGCGTGCACCTCGCTCTTTATGCTCTTATTTGCGTAGGTGGCATATCTGTGGTAGCCTCATTGAAATTGACCGCTCTGACCTAAATTCGGTTAGGACGACATTATGAAGACCTCAACTATTTATTTTAAATTGGATCTTTATAGCTATGCCTTGTTGTTTTATTCTTGCTTAACACAACATTTTAATATCTATTACCTATATATACTCGCAAAACTTTTTCTATACAGCCTGCATCGCTTGCATGAATATAAGACAAAAGAAACCTTCGCCGAACGTGAATAATAACCGACATCCAACTATTCAACCACAGAATTCTAAGAGCTTCATTAGAACTCCTTCGTTTTTCTTATATATTAAAATGCCCCCATAAAACAACAGACCTATACATATAGAACGGACAGTCACTGATCTTCAATCTAAAATATTAATACGAACGTTTGTGTACCCCTTAATCGTAGAATGTGTTAATATAAAATTGCAGCTAAAAGTATGAGTTGGATCAGCGCCGAACGAGTGTTACTCAGTACATTTTATGATGACCATATCATTAATTTTATTACATTACACAATAGTGTATTAATAGCTTTGTTGATAACAATCCTGCACTGATATGTGGTAACATGGTACAGATACATCTTCTTTTTCGTTTGTTTATGTGTTTTCTTTCATTTGTTCTAGAGTTTTTTTCTATTTAAATGTAGTTCTACACACAAATGCTCCACCCTAAAATTAACACTATTATATATAGGACTTAAATAGACTGGTAGAAAATGCATATGGCGTTAAGTACGCTATTTGATATTTTTGTACATAATGTGTTGATAAAGAAAATGCAAAAATCTACGAGGGTGCTTTTACTTTGATCTTCGCTGTGTAATGTGTCTTAAGAAGCTTAATTATTGGTCAGTTGTGTATATCAAGGGGTCAAAAATAAAAGTTTGAGAAACTATGCCTTTTGCTTATCGCGTGCCACTCACTACAAGTGACTACATATTTCCTACCCTATATCCTATAAACACGCGACCGTTCCACTTATTTTCTTAGGGTCGTGTCCACAAATACCTACATATTTTATAATATGGTTAATATTAAGTAACAGTTTAGTAAGTTAAAGCTGAAGAAGTAGCAGCTCGATAATATTCTTTAAAGACTACTTAAAATTCTCACGTTTCTTTTTTGAAGACCCAAACTAAAAGATCTTTATTTTTAAGCTCTTATAAGAAAAAATATATTTAGAAAACAATAGACTAGGGATGCCTCGAATATTCGGCACCTATTCAGTATTCGGCCATTTCGGCAATTTTTTTCACTATTCGGTATTCGGCCGAATATACCGAATATTCGGCCGAATATACCGAATTATTCGGCTGAAAACCGAATAGTGAATCACAAAAAAAGAATGCATATAATTACTTGCAAAGATATTTATTTTTACCAATAACTTATCATACTTACTTGAAAAAAAATCAGCATTTGTGGATAGGAAACGATAGGCAATATAGAACATAGTCTGCTGGTGATAAATCGGTGGGAATCAGACTGTTTTTAAATCAATTATTGACAACAATATGGAACTAAGCCTCCGAAGAAAAAACCTTTACTATCATACCTCATAACTCATCATCATCATCATCAACAACAGCCTTTAATAGTCCAGTTTAGTTAGAAAATAAGTTTTAACCTACCAGGTATACCACGCTAGCCAGACGGGTTGGTACAGGGTTTGTTTCAAGTTTTCAATCTCTGCAGTGCTGTTGTCCTGCGTATTTTGCTAGGGCTTCTTATCTAGTGGGTGTTCCACGGGATGAGTATGGGTGGTGAAATACCGTATTCTTAATCCGGCACCATACTCCTCATAAATTACACATGCTTCGGAAAATAGCCGCTTACTGTATATAATGCTTTGGAGATGATAAAAAAATCTTAGCAAATCTCTTAGGTTAGGATATTGTTTGGCGTTTGCTGACCATTTTACTGATTCAAGATTAAACCCGCGAAATTCACTAAGTGTTGCCGAATAATCGGCGCTTCGGACAAGCTCGCCGAATTTTCGGTATTCGGCGATATCACTATTCGTAGCATCTCTACAATAGACTGACTAGCTTTTTGTAGTAGATACTTTTTATAAGAAATCTAAATTACGTGTGACTCTTACGCGAGCCAATTAATAATTCCTGATTTTTTGTGTCTTATTTTGTATTGCGTCTCTTTGTCAAGTATAACATGTGTAGTAAGTTTTTCAAGAAAGTCTACTGGTATTTTTATATTATAATATCATAAAGTTGTATAAAACAGGGCAATGAATCAATAACTATAAAGCAAATAATAAATCAGTAACAGGTACGTTTTTCATGAATCATCGCCTTTATTTATTTATTTATTTATTTATTTATTTATTTATTTATTAGGATCTCCTACGAAAGATATACACAAGTAAAAAAAACAGTAATTAACAGAATGGGTTTAAAGTCGGTGTACTCCTTCACTTACAGGAGACCACAGCAAGCACAGTAAAAAAAATTAATACCATCAACCAAGTGAACAAAGTTACAAGCGATGTTAAAAGTTTAAATTCTTAAAAGTAACAAAAAAAATATAATTAAAAAATGGTTTTGATAAAATTTTAAAAATACGAAACAAAACAAAAAATAATAATAATAATAAAAAAAAAACGTTGAGGCTTACATTACATTAAAGCTGTTAAGCATTTCTTATATTTAGACAAACATAGGCATATATCTAATTCAGTCGTTTTGGCTAACGTGTTATATTGCCTACAAAGTCTTGGCACTGGTCTTATCTTAACGACTATATTATGCAAGGAGCAATTATATCGCACATGTAGCGTGTTGTCTACGAACATGATCTAACAACGATATCGATAGTAATAAAGGCCTGTGTAACACTACTGATCGATTAAATAAACGTCGAGGTGAACGGCCCTCCTGTTTAAAATCGATAAAGTTACTGGAACTTTAAATCATTTCTTCACTCATATAAAATGTACGTGAATCGAAACTACATTTAAAATCCATGCAAATAAATACATTAGACATGCAAATGACTAAATAGTTTCGTTTTCGTTGCGATTACTGTTTTTGCCGCCCGTTTAAAATGCCGCCCATGTGCGGTGCACGCTCTGCACACCTGTACCGCCGGCCCTGAGGCAGCGCTTTTCAAACTCATCGTGAACAAAATCGTGGGTACCAGCTAGTTATTAAATAAGATGCTGCATCGATTTTGCTAAAAAGGTCCTTTTACCTGAATCCCGAAGACAATGCAGTAGCGTAATCATGCTGATCGCCTATGATAAAAAAATTCATATTTAAAGCAGTCCCTGAAATAGAAGTTCTCGAAAAATAAATGGTTTTTGCAGCAAAAAAAGCTATGTAAGCAGATCCATAGATGACCTATTATAAAATTTGAGTGACGCCGGCATCGGACGGACCGAAATGAATGGGCCTGGGAATCGCGACCCAGGAGTGGGTTAAGGGAGTCCTCCTAGCGACGCATTAGCGCCCACCCTCACTACTGTGTAACCTCCTCTACCTAAAAATATTTAAAGTTCAGAAAAGAAAAGAAAAAAGATTAAAGAAAAGAGCTAACCGAAGCTCTTGGCAATCTAAGGTCCAAGGCAATTTAAAAATAAGCAGGTTATAGAGGGATTTAGCTGGTATACCCCTCGCACCTACTTCGACGGCATACAACGCATAGAAAAAAACATTTCTAGTTATTTAGTTGTTTGTTTTCTTTTTTATAAAATACAATACCGTATAGTTTCCGTACACTGGCTCAACATGTTTGCAGAAGTCGGCAGCCCAGCACCTCTCCCGGCTATCGGGCGCCATCGGACCAGAGAGAATCTACGCCGATTGGCAGTGGTGGATTCTGGCTGCGCTCCCGTTTCCACATCTCGTTAGAGTACTCGACTGTTTCTTCCATGAGGGGATCAAGGTGAGAATTTTCAACAGACTGTCTTATGTGTATACAATTTGTTCAAAATTACAGTTCCTTATTTCTGTTTAGTAACCAGAACTTGCCAATCACAGATGATAATACCTAAAATCTAAAATATTGAGTATGTTATAGAGTAATCAATTTTAATTCTGTACAAACCTGAATTCTGGTGGTAGTCATAAATATATAAATACGTATATATATATATATATAAATTAAGTTAAATAATTCGTATTTGTACGCGGGATTACGACTTGTCTAATTATGCCCTTTGATGTTTAAACGCTTTGATAGTATTTCAAACGTAATTGAAAATTTGTCGGCTGTAACGAACGCGTGATATATTAAATAAAGAGTAAAAGCAGAATTATATTCTAAGTACATCAAATAACTTGATTCTTAATGTGGTAATTGACTTAAATACCAAAATTAGCTTTCGTTTCGTTTTGTATTAATTCAATTATCAGTCACGAAACTTTTTAATTTTGAGCCTGTGTAGGAATTGATTGAGAGATGAGATGATGAGATAAGCCTAGTCCAATGCAATGTGATCAAAGCGTCAGGCAATTCAATGATATGTCCTTTTTCCCTTAAAATATTATGTAAAGAAGAGCAGACATGATTAGTACCGTTGTTTCCATGACTTTCTGTGTACAGGTGTTCTACAGAGTGGCACTAGCAATCCTCATTCTCTTTAACAAGCATGCATCGAATCAGAACTCTGAATGGTACGCCGAGGCGACGAAGAACGGCGTCGATCACGCTATAGACAAGTTCTGTAGAAATATGCCCGCATCGCCCACCAAGCTGCTCAGAACTGCTTTTAGTATTAGGGCACTAAGGTAAATCATCATAAATACATACGCATCTTTTAATCACTCATTCGTCTGTGTATTGGTATTTAACTAATTACGTCAGAAAAGTTTATCTCAAAAATAAACTTAAAAGCACAAAAGTACATCCAAGAGAGATAATCAAGGAAAGTATACTTTATTTCTTTTTTGTTGTTAGTAAAAAATAAACAAACACTGCTTTGATCTCAAAACTCATTTAAAAAACAATTTTCAAAGCACAAAAAGTATTCCCGTACAATATTGGTTCGTTAAGGCTCATTTGGCGTGGTGTCTGCGAGTGGAATACATAATTAATTCCTCTGATTCTGAACATCCCAACAAATTTAAATCGTCGATGTTCGCTAGATTAGATTTTATATGTAAATATTATTCGTTAACTGAGACATTACTTATGCTATTTTTTGTACTTTATGTCTTTTTAAACATTAGCTATGTATGTGAGTTTAAGCCCTTTGAAATAAAAACGTTGTTTTAAACGTTTTATTTTGCGATTTACATAAATGAGGGTTTAAAATAATGACACAATCATTAGTTGAATAAAATAATAGAAGATATTAATGTATCTTCTTTAAAACAGTTCACAGTACATATCGCGGGTGTTTATCAAGACAGAGATGACACTTAAATCCAAAGCGGTGATCACAGGCAACCGGCTCGTCCGATCCAGGTCTTCGGACAACCTGCCCACCAGCCAGTCACAAGTCAATATCCAGATGATGTCACACACGCTCACCATACGCGAGGTGAGTTACGAACGGTTTGATCAAATGGATCTTAGTGATCATTATGATCACACTGAACAAAATTAATAACAGGATAAATTTTGGTTGTAGTGTACCCGTAAACATTCATTTCAAATTTTTAGAAAGGCTGTTAATTAAACAAAAAATTGATTATTATATACTATCTTTTAAACAAAATAGTAAATTAAAACAACAGATCAAGGCCTACATTTAATGTACAAATAAAGTATTACATTTCTTTTATCATTTTGTAGCCATCATCAATACAATTTTGATGATAATCTGGATATAGATAATTTGTGTTTTTAGCCACGTTTAGGTTGTGTATTTGTACAAGCTTAAGGGTAGCCTATATGCTAACAGTCACGATGATTATATTATATTCTAACTACACACTGCACAGCCACAAATATAAAATTGATATATTTGTATATCGGTTTATTTTACTTGGTTCGCAGAGAATGTCTGAGGAAACGTGCAAACAGATGGTATCGTACTCGACGACATTAGGCGTGGCTTTGGCTTTTATTTATCATAAAATTCATTCGATTGCAACCCTAACACGACTAACTTTAAATGATCGAATTTCTATACAAATTCGAAAGTCCAGTCTAATATATTTTTTTATGTAAGATACATCTTCTTTCGTTTTGTCCAAACCACCGTTATGTTATGTTCGGTCTGTGTGCGACAGTCTGCGAATGAGTCTTACTTTGTTGTGTCCATCTGTGTAATCATACGACTCGTATTAATTCTCATTAGTTAGATATTTGACTATACGAATGAAAGATATTGAACATTCATATCATTTGCTTTGATTGTCTGAGTTATTCATGTTCCTCTCATTGTTTTAAGTGTGTCTTTCCTCTTTGTACAATATATTTTTCTTACTTTACAATATTGAACATACAATGTTAACGCGTTTGATATTTGGCATGTGCGTGTTAGCGCTCGAAACTTCAGGGAGTCGTAAACAGATGTAAAAATTTGGCATAAAAAATGGACATAGCTTTAGAAATTAACAAATTTTCAGAGGTTCTATAGGTACATACAGTGATGTGAAGTCGCAGTGAAGGCCGCATGTAATCTATTGTTTTGTGTGAGTGCTAACTGTGTGTCGATTTTCCTGTTAGGGCTCACATTCGCCGGGCCCGCGCGCCCTATCGATGGGCGTTTACCCAATCCAAGCGATCAGGTCGCAGATTACAGACCAGAATGAAGTAAGATACAAGTGTTCAGTCACGAAATATAAGTGTCGCCCTATAGAAAGCTTGCGACATTATATCGATGTTTAGATGCACCGCTTGTCACTAGGTGTTTTATTTATTTCGTTCCTTTAAAGCAACAATGATGCTTTAGGAGAATCTTCGTTTTTATATTCCAGCTTGTTTTAATTACAATGTTATTTTGCGTTTTATGGTAAGTACGTGTAATGTAAGCTATTGTGCATGACGGCTAAATAGTGCGTCTGTTTTTTGATGTATGTTAATTTGTATAGTGCCAATACAATAACTGTCTACGTATATTTAGGTCAGTATCGACTCCGGAAATTATCATCAAAAACTACATACTCGATAAATCCATTAATACATAATCTTCAACATCAATTTACATCTCTTGATCATTACGATCAGAAGGATCGCTCTGATCAGAAGCATCAATTGATCATTCTGATCACAAGTCCATGATCATTCGCAGAGCCCACGATCCTCCCACCTGGCCATCTGGTTCCCATTCCCTAACGCCGTATTCAAGGACCAACGTCACCATGCATCAGATTTGAGACATAAGGTTGGACAGAATATTCTGACTAGACTTTATTCATCACAATTAACAGGGATCATAGTTGTCGTGGTGGCACTTGTATGCAAACAAGTAGATGTATTTTTTATTTATGCACATTTTCCAGTTGGTAGATCGTTCAGTAATTTTATGGGTTCCGTAGGTTAGTTGCGGTTACGTTTCATGTAAGTTATGTATGTTAAACTATTTTTAAGGTAAATGAGTACTAAAACTTTAAGCGGAAGCTGCAAAATAAGGAGTATTAAGATAGGCACGGGCCTTTAAGTAGAAAAAAAAAACGTTTTATTTGTAAACCTTCTTCCGCTGGTTTCCAAACTTACGGAACCCCTGCATGCAGTTATTAAACCCACTTCTGTAATCTGGTTGCACCATAAAACCGTGCCTCAGAGCACAAAACAAAAATTTATAATATTAATAACATTAGAAATGTATATACTCGTACAAAGATTTTTATTGGCTGGGTAACTACATAATTTTTAGAGTCTAATAGTGTAGCCAAATTTAACAAGAATATTCAAATGTGTAAAGATATGAAAACACAATTTGAAGGTTTTGGAAATTATTTAACATGCTCGAAGTAGCGGAAATTCATAAAGAAAACACACAATTCACCTTTTTATCCATCTCGTAATTACACTATTGTTCACAACAATCACATGTAACTCGAAAATAGTTGGACATCAAAGAAAATAGGTTTTTCTAATGTTTTTATTATTATGATGATTTAAAAGCAATGGTTTTTATTTTTATTTGTTTAAAAATTAGTAAGTAGTATTTACAACATTATATTGATTAGATTTCAAATAGAGCCAGTTTCACAATTTTTTATTAAAATTTAATTTCGTATAAAAAGTATTTTAGTTTGCACAATTATTAAAAAAAATTGTAATTGTCATAAAATTATTTGGTGAAGAAGATCCTACGCTTGGAACTTGTGGTATAACCTGATATAGACTCGTGGGACACAGACGAATAGAAATTATAATATCATTATTAAATCTGATTGACAACTAACTAGAAATCAGTTGATATCAGTGACCCAAAGGCATCTCCAATCACGTGATCAAATAAAAAATACTGCTTGTTATTTTTTATTAACCTTTACTTCCATTATTAAATAAGGGAATCAAAAGACAGATACATCTTCGCTACAAATGGTCCGGCTCGATCGGACTGATACCACGTCCTCACAAAAAAAAAGATTTCGATTATTCATTGGTTTTTACTGTGTGCAAAAAATATTAAATTATTTCGTTGTTTTTTACTGAGTGAGATTACCAGAGACTAGACATGGAAATTATTGCTACTGTTAAATCATAGTCATTTAATGAAATGATTGGTTATAGACACTGCGATTTCATGACCCGTCTGCTCGTTTGCTATACAATAAAAAAGTAACTATTTGACTGCCTCGGTGGTGCAGTGGTTGCGTATGCGACTGTTGTGCTGAGGTCTCGGGTTCGATTCCCAGGTCGGACATAATGTTTGTATGATCTGCAAATATTTTTTTCGGAGTTTGAGTGTTTTCTATGAATAATATGTATGTATATACAAAAAAAAAGTATATAAGTATTCTATCAGTCAATGTACCTTTATAGTACAAGCTCAGCTTAGTTTGAAACTATACGGCGTTGTGTGTCAGTTGTCCGAAATAATAAAAAAAAAACGTATTACACGCTTTAGAACTACCGATGTAGGTACACTGAAACGTATGTAAGAAATTCACATATCTATATACAATTTTAACTTCTTTTATAGTTGATGTTCTTCTTGTATTAGTTTTACAAATCACAAGCCTGGTCTCTTTGAGCTATTGCGGTCTTAGTCCCCTTTTCTATTAAACTTGCGGTGTCTAGCTAGCTCTCTTGTCCTATCCATTTCCTCGTCCCTATTTATCGTCTTGCTTTGTACCGCCAGTAAAGGACAACATTCTCAAGGAGGGTTTAGGTCAAGCAGGCCTTTGTAAAGTTAAACATTGAGGCGACCTTAAATGAAATTGAGAAAATACAGAACAATGATGCTACAGTTTTCTAAGGATCCAGTTAAGCGTAAATCGGTATCAGTGCAATCCGTGGGCGTAGCCACGGTGAGGCAGGGTGGGGCACTTGCCTGAAGGTACCTAAGCAAACCTAAAAAATTAAATTATAAGTACTAACTACAATACTTAATATCCGTAAGAAAGTTCACACTCGATAGTCGACACGTCGTGTATGAAAAAATAAACCGGGGTACGACTGCGGGTATAGTTTGCTAGTTACATATTATTTTAGACTTCTGTCCCACCCTGAACCCATGGCTAGCTACGCCCATGGTGCATTCTATCAGTAATGGCTTACGCTGACATTATCTTAAGAAGTAAGATTTTTCTTATTGATTATGGTACAATTATTTATATAAAAGTACAGTGTTACCCACAACCACAATTACTATAAAATTACAAATATATAAAATGGCACTAAACTTGGTAGGTTTATATTACTTAGTCATGTACATCTATAAAATCACAGTATAGCTTTATATAATATTTACATGAAAAAGATTATGAAGATCTTTTACCAATATATTAATAAAACATTACTTTTTTTTAAATAAACATACATACATATTTTCTGAATCCGCTAATTTAAAGAAATCAATAATATATATAATTGAAATATAATAAAAACTATTTCTTAGTTCCAAGGTTTCGTAATGTTTTTTATTGGTGGCAAATATCTTCGAAATTAATTTTTGCCCAAATATAACCAACACGCGAAGGAAAAGACACACTGCCGTGTTAAATGTTTAGTTATGTTGTATCTAAAACATAATTAATATCAACTAACAAATCTTTTTATTAAATAAGTCACTCATTATAAAACCTAATTAGATGTCGCTTAACCAATGAAAGTCATAATAATAGAAAGATTTTTGTTTGGACTAGTGTGTTTAAGTCTGCACGAAACGTAAGTTTTATAACCCTTACCTAATTTGTGTGAATAGGAATATATTTATATTACAAAGATGGCCGTTTTACTGGTCTATTTTGTAAAAATTTTGCTTTCTGTCTACATTTTGTGAAATTGGCTCTAATACTCTTATCGTATAAATTATTCAGTGTTGCATGTTATGTCGTGATTACATATTTATGATGGTACTGCAATGTTACGTGATGCAGGTAAATTAGGTTTATAGTCGTATTGTAAACGAAAATAAACCAATTAATAAATCTCTAAAATATACTTTGTTACAATTTTGAATAAAAATAGCAACTTAAATTCTTAATTTCATTCGCAAAACAAGAAAAACGTAATCGCTCTCGTTTTCAAATGTTACAAGCATTAAAAATTAAATCTGCAAATTGGACACATTTGTTGCGTTCTGTTTTTTTTTTTTTTGTTAGTGATAGAGGAAACCTAATGTAATAATTATAATAAAACCTTATTTACAAACGTTGCACCGCCATCGCTAGTGACGTAGTTCTGATCATGTGTAAATTGATGTATCTACGCACCATAAGCACACTCACTTGTACGCGTCTACTAATTATCACCATTAACTGTAACGTTATGTGTTGCCCTTTGTAAAAAAGGATTACCATAAATTATGAAAATCTAGTTTTTATTTACAGTTTCCTAGTTAAGGATTGTTAACTGTGAAAATAATTGGTTAATAATTGTTATAAACACATTTTTTTGAATATTCTATCTTTTAAATTCGTCTGATTGCTACGAGTAATAATATGTGACGTTTCTGTTACCTCACATATAATAAGTGCCAATAAGTGGTATTATTACTATTTTTTCTTGAAATATAAATATCCATAGTACCTGTGTTATTATTTTTTCTGTTTAGAATGCCCATTACTAGTTATCCAAATAGTAGCATTCTTAGCCAATGTTATAGAAACCATCAATGTTAGTTTAGTTATCATTTTATGTATAGTCAAGGGTTATATTTTAATTTTCATTCAAACATTTCAGTTGTTCACTCTATGGTCGTGGTTACCCGTGCGCATCACAATGTACCAGCCAGTGTTGCTATACACGACAGAAGAGCACGGTTGCTCTCTGACCACTTTCTACGTGCGAGTGGAACATCACGAACCGACTTTACTCATGATTAAGACGTGTAATAACGAGGTAAGTTACATATTTTTATGTTTTTACTACGAGTATATATTTTCGCTTTTGATACCTTGTTTTTTTTTTAATTCTTCACGGAGATAAAAAGAACCGACAATGAGTATCCGTGAAATGTATTGACATAAGATTCTCAAAGCTCCTGATTCTCTTAGAGATAGGTCATTATATTATGTATAAAATAAAGGGAGTGGTGTAGAAATTGTAAAACTTAATCAGAGTAAAATTCCATTGAGGTTTCTCGGTGTGTTTTATCGGCATTCTTAGCTCCCCTCGTCTATAGATCCAGATGTTTGAATGTATTTAATTTAATATAATTTATTCCCTTCTATGTTAGCTTACTTTGTCTAAATAAGGTTTTAAATAACCCTTTGGTAATCGGCAGGTGTTCGGTGCGTACTGTTCGACGCGATGGTTTGAGCGCAATCAGAAGGACGAGCGCGGGAACAGACAGGCTTACTTCGGCACGGGAGAGACATTCCTCTTTAGGTAACACTTACTATCATTAAAGATCTTATATTAAAGGTAAAAGGTTTATGACAAACCTTTATAAGTTTTTATTTACATTTAGTTAATTTGTTAAGATTAAGATTTGTTCGATTGTTGTTGATTCACGTGTCGAACTCTTAAAACCGTTTTTTCTTTAACAAATAGACATATATCGTAAAATATATGTTTCAAACGAATGATAAAATTAGACCGTGAGTGCTAGTGAATACTGTTAAAAGATAAAAAAAAACTGACTGGAATTGTGTGTGTCTTATGTACTTTCGTCGCCACACACTTGGAATTTCACTTCTCAGTAAAATGGAAGCTCGTGCTTCTGTCACAAATTAGTATAATCGTCCAAAATAGGTGACCCGTCTGACCCGAAATTTTTCTTTATGTTAGAGTGGGAAGACGAGGGTCTTCCTACTCTAACATAAAAGAAACGTTTGGATTAGCATCATTGTACATAATAAAGATTAAAATTTTACGGCTCTACTAATCCACTGATACAATCAAAGAGTTCCTGTTCCCACTGACTTAATATAAACTTGACTAGATATTCGACTTATTATTAGTCAGTTTGCTTTGATCAAGCTTTCAGATTGCGGGAACAATTATTTTTTTAAATCTTATGTTATAAACAAGAACTTGAAAACCTGAAGTATTTTTTATTTATTTACAAATATTGTTTTCCATATTGGTTTATAGTGGCTACTTGTTTTACTAATTTACGTAGTTGATTATTTATTTATTTATGTATTTTTCTAATAATTGTTATCATGTATTAGACTTGTAATCGTAAATAAGTACTTACTTGTAAGTGTGTTATACTTATGTAGATTTTTTAGTGCAGTGTGAGCTGCTTTTAACTTAGTATAAGTTTACTGGATCAAGTTTTAACGTTTCTATTGTAGGTTGCGATGATTGTATTTGTATATTTTAGGTTAATTTCCACTAATTCAGAAATAAAAGAAGAAACAGTGATAAGTGTAAAAATAGTAATTTTAATGGTTGCTCTTCGGGTAATAGCTTAAATTTTGTATCCTAATGCAAATAATATTCTTTTTAACTGACATGTATGGGTTTCCTAAAGTACTAACAATCGATTTTATTGGTATTTTTACTAACGCTATATGTGTAGTATGCTTGCTATATGGTGTACAAATTTTAGAAAAACTGCCATGGACATTGCAGTTTATTTAAATTATAATGAAAATATATATGTAAATAGATGTTTCTAACTGTAACCACTTCATTAATTGCATGTAACAATGTTTTATCGTTCGTGAGTGACGAAATGTACCATATGTACTGTAAAATAACTGTCACACAAAACCCCATATAATGGTACACATAATTCGTTATTCAAAATAACTCCATTTCAAAGGTATTCTCAAACTACCCTCAGAGGATCATTATTAATAGTATGTTGTAATCATACCATGCAAGATAGTCACAGCATGTTGCATCATCCCCACAGCCTTTACCCGGAGCGTGCCAAGTACCCCTGGGTGGGCGTTACTTCGGGGAACGACGGCAAGGGCGAGGAGCGAGTCGCACACGGCTCCGAACTGTTCATGGCCGCCGACTCCAAGATGATAACTATCGGAGGAGGGTCAGTAACTATCTAATATAATATATATTTCAGTTTGCATCCACACCGGGCCAAGTACCCGTGGGTGGGGTGCTTAGAAGATGGGAAGGAAGGCGAAATTGATGCGAGGACCCCACACGCCAATTCGCTGTTCATGGCGGCCGATAATACTATGGTTACCATTGGTGGAGGGTATGTAGGGTTGATAGTTTGAGTGAATGTAACCGTTTGGTGTGATTTTTATGGTTTGTTTTTCACGAATAATTGTGTAATAATAAGACCCTTTAAAGTTTGTCGTTTGAACTCTCATCACTGCTGTTATCCTTATGTAAATATCACCGTGGTTAAGAATTTGTGTCCACCATAGTATAGTTATGTTTTTAAGTGTAACATGCATACCCATGACACTTCTGTCTGATCTGTAAATCTCCTTGTTTTGCTCTGTTTTGTAAAATCGCAAGTGCATGTTTCACTATTTTTAAGCATACAAAATCCCATGTGATTTATCTATGGTGACAATCCTGTTTAGACTCACTATCCCACATAGACATGCTGTCGTTAACACATACAATGTCATTTATTACCTTACACGGTCGTACATCTCTTAGATACTCACATACAGACATAGGGATGTACTTTTTTTATGTTAATCGAAAAGTCGATAAGATAGTCTGCCCAAGATTCGCTCTCGGATCAGCGCATCCCTATACAGATATATGTAGACATACAATTTGTCTCAAACATCCATACATTTCCACTTAGGCATTGTCTCCCGTCTCGACATATAATACAAATATACACATATGCTTAGAATGGAACCCTGCTCTCTTCGTATTACCTAGCACCAGCCCTACCTCACATGTGTTGTATTTATTTGTTTGTTATTGTTGTTTAATATATATTTTTCCAAATAACAGTGACGGCCAAGCGATTTGGATGGACGAGAACATAAGGTTCGGCAAGACTGACCGCTGCTCGACGTTCAACAACCCGCCGCTGTGTCCGAGTGGCGATTTCGAGATTCGTGTCCTTGAAGTGTACGGCTTCTCCGGGGCTTAAAGGAGTCCAATCTCATCATTACGTCATCATTACATGTCTCTTTCCCCCTTACTCCAGCGCTACTGCGTAAAGGCAGAAATACACATACATAATGTTAGTCGCTTACGAATGTACGTATTGGTTGGTGTGTGTATTTCTAGCTTATGTGTGCGTGCCGCTCACGGTCATCAATAGATCCCACGTGGGGAGTTCTCAATCCGCCCATATCACAACGATCCTTCCATATTATCGGTTATCAAATAACGCGATAGTCTGCCGGGGGCCTTCCCTATCCAGCCCCCACAATATTTCGAAGAAAGTCCTGCATGAGATGTATTGATCGCCCTTTGCCGTGTAACAGACTGTAGATGTATTCCTAATATTTATTCTGCGATAATCTCGTGTGTGGACCCCGTAGCTATCCTATACGATTCGAGCTGTCCGTTCAAGACAACGAAACGGGGAATGTAGGTTGTTAAAATTATTTACTCATGTTTAGATTGTGTAAGTACAAAAATTTTTGAATGTATCGTACCTACTCTCGATGGATTGAATACGCTTATTATGAAAGCAATATGTTTTGGGCTCAGCCGTGCGGTGGTCGTTCAGTGACTGTGTGGATGCGAACATTCCAGTGATTTGACTTCATAGGACTCAAAGCGGTCATTGTGAGTGAATATGTTTGTACGACACGATAATTCGGTCCAAGCAACAGTATTTCGGTATTAGTACGTTCATAATCATGTAAGGATATAAACTCGCAGTTTTATCTTGCTCACAAATATGTACCAAAGAATTTATCGTAGAATGTTTACTGGTTACGCTCGATGCTAAATGTTATAGAAATGTGGCGATATATGTTACACACTCATCTTGATAACGGTACATTAAGAGAATAGCTCGCCATTGCTTCTATAAAGTTAACAACGAGCTAACGAAATATATATAAATATATATATATATATATATATTGTTATATCAACGATATTAAAAGGCAGCAGTCGCCGCACAATTTTGGCTCCAATTTTCCGGAGAAAAGATTATACACGTCACTGCCATTGCTCGCAGTCATAATAGTATTATTTATTACGTATTTCGAAGTATGTGCCAAAATCGGACATTATACGAATTGGCTTTTTGAACCCGGATTTGTTTTATTTTCTACATAAAATGATGTGAAGTATTTTATATCGACGAAACGTAAGTGAATTAGAGTTTATAGAACTCGGATTGTGTTGAAAAGATTTTACCTGTCGTTTGACTGTCCCTAACGGACGCATAATATGAGGACCCGTGAATGATTGTCACCTGTTCCTAGTTTCGTTTGATAATGCTTATAATGAAATTGATATTAAAATTAGTTTTAAAAAAGCAGACAGAATTAATGAAAACGCAGTGCGTTTTTCTTTACACATGTATCCACGTCGGATGCGTCCGTTCGAATTGACAGACGCACATCAAGTGATCGTTGTGCAGTGCAGAGCGAAGCGTAGGTACACCGTGTGACGTCACAATGTAGGCCTGTCCCTGTTGGTACAAAGGGCTACCACTGCGTTCGTATCACCCGCGGCTTTTTCCGCTACGATTTATTTGTAAATATAATTTTTGTTATGCAGTCGCCTAACTATCTGACCATTTTTGTTATCTACCCACGTTTACAATTCAATTCTAAAGCCGCATACACACTTCGGAGGCTAAAAACGGAATGTTATGTAAAAATGTTCACATGTACCTGAGTAATGTGTTTATATATTATGTAAAGCTGTGAATGTCGTTAAGTATTGTAGCCCATACACATATCTCTATATGTATCGTTCGGTTTATATATTTTGACATACTAACTTATAAATATTTATAAGGTATTTGTTTTTCGAGGGACGTTAGTTTAAGATATGCGTTATAAACGATCATGTATATGTACATGACAAAAGGTTGTTGCCTCAGACTACAAGAGATTTATAAATATTATGGTGAAAGTTGAATTGTAGAGGTGGTCTAGTCACATGGTCGCTATTTAGACGACTCTACGTAGCGAGATGGGGTTTGTTATGGTACTACAAACTAATTATGTTATTCAGAAGCCTAAGACTCGTTTTAAATTCAAATTATTTATGTAACTTATTGAGTAGGTAACATGTAACTTTTATATGTATGTTATAAGCGTCTCTTTGCGGGCGGCGTTTATTGGTCATGTTTTTTTTTTTGTTTAAATATAATGTTTCCTATGCAGTCACCTGGATGACGAACACGGTTACAGATGTTGCATTAATATAATTCGTTATTGATTCGGGGAGTCCCCCGAGGAGTGTTAGTTGTTTAGTTGAGTGCATAAGTGACGAGCTGCTTTTGTATAATGTTAAGTTGCGTAGCTGCGCCCGCAGTGAGTCGTGTCGCGATATGTTGCTGTTAGCCAATTTGTCGTTGATCAGTGTAAAGTCTAGTCTTTATCCTGTTTTTATTATCCCTAACGGTATATTATATAAACTATATACAAATTGATATTTAAAAAAATAATTTCATGCGTTTTTGCCTCGATAGTGGGCATGTAGGCTCGTGGTTAGTTAGTTAGTAAGTACATTTAATATATGTAAATTTATTAATCTCCTTTTTCCTTTTCAGTATTGTGTCGTAAGTTTTTTTTTTTTATGTGAGGAGCATATCATATTAAGTGACAAGTATGGGTGATGCGTGATTCTAGTGATCTTTGTTATGTTACTGTTACATTCGAATAGTTTTAGTCCGCCGCTGCGGCGACGGCGTAAAACTTGTCTATGGTAATGTAAATGTTGCTTCATAATGTGTAAAAAAATATATAATCCTATATACATATTGTAGTTTTCTTTCTATATATAAGACCATTAGTTACTGCTGCGTCGTCATGGATATGTCGCATGGGAAATGGGAACTATAGACAACAACGGAACGTCTCTACTTGTGTTTATACCAGAAAGCCAATTCTTGTAACAAAAGTTCTGTCTTAATTTAGTTTCGATTAACTTTTGATCTCACAGCTGTCATAAAAAGTAACTTCGTAGTAAAGTAATAAACATACAACTGTAATGTAATTATATCGTATTCCAACCAAAAATTGAATCGGTAATCTGCTAGTCTTAGTAATAGTTTACTACTTTACTACGAGATACAAAATTTGATTATTGTTTGAGGTATCCCGAGTGCTAGCAATCACCGTTTTTTGTCGGTTCGAGTTCGACATACCTACCACTTCATCCTCAACTCTGGTGAGGTGACAAATACCTTAAATATAGCCGACGTTTATGTCAGCAAAATAATAAGCTAATCTTGTACCTCGGTGTACGACTATCGCAGAAGAGAAATGATATAGCTTAGCTTTTTAAATTCATGGTGCGAAAGTTTTGATGACAATCCTAACTTAGTCCCAATTTCACGTGGTATGTTTACTACAGCTTAGGAATTGACTGCACGGATGGCGTAGTGGTTTAAGCGGTCGCCACGCCGCTTCCTACTACGCCGAGTGTTGTGGGTTCAAACCCCACATGGGACGACACTGTGTGATCCACAAATTGTTGTTCTGAGTCTGGGTGTTCTTTGTGTCCGTTTCATGTATGTAAAGTCCCCCGCGACACAGGATTTATTCCTAATGCGGGCGTTGTCCTTTTATAAGAAAAGAAAAAAAAAATCAGACCAGTTTTAGAAAATAATGAAGAAGAATCACATTCATCGGAGTTGGATTTCGCTGGCTGGCTGGCACTTGCAGTTCTTGGTAATAATAATATATTTTTCACTGAGGTATAAACAGTACATAGATAACTACTGTGACAATATATTCTTCGGTGACGTAATCAACTGTGCGGCAGGGCCAGTCTCTCGTGCTAGGAATATGGAAGCGTTACTCCCAGTTAAGACATGTACCAGATGTGATGATGATGATGATGACATGTACAAAACACGTACCAGCTGGTACACTACAGTAGCACTACATCAGGACTGGGTAAAAACTTATATGATTACATATGTTTTTTTTTATGGGAATATCTATAGAAGGGGGAGGGGAGAAACAGGCAGACACCTGATGGTAAGTAACTACCGCCCAAGAACACCTGCAACTCAAGAGTCACAAATGCGTTGCCGCCCTTCGAGTTCCTCCCCCTAAAATCGATTGAGGGAGGTTTTGATACCCTCACTCGCTCGGTGAAAAGCAATAAGAGAATTGCTTAACCAGGGTTAAGCAATTCTGTGATTGCTTTTCACCACCACGTTCTCACAGACAACCCTGGTGGTATCACTCCGACGAGCCAAAGCTTGGCTCTACCGGGGTGAAATCAGTGTGCGTTACCCCAGCAAAATAATGTCGAAAATGGTCATTTAAACGTTATAGATAATTAGTTGCTCCCCTTCTGTAATTGTTAAGCACATTTTTAAATTTGTTTCACTTAAACTTTTTTAGTTATTTCAAAAAAACATTTCCTGCTGGGGTAACGTTTGAAACGTTACCGCAGCCAGACATTTTCTTTTTTAATTGTAATATTGAAATAAATTTTAGCTAAATAATTAGTTATCTGGACTAGGTAAATGTTACAACTTATTTGGTATTTGTATTTTCTTCGGCTGCGAAGTTATTCGAAATCCTGCTGGAGTAACGTTTGTGGGTTTGCTGGATCTCTGAAACGGGTAAGCGGATTGTAACCATCTTTTGTACATAACTTCTTAAGGATTAGTTTTAATTTGTTCGACAATAAAATAACAAAAATAATGGACCGTTTAAAAACTATTTAGGTAAGTATGAAAACACTTAAATACGTCCTAACACTTTAAATAAGACCTCTTAAGACTTACTTGAAACGTTATTCTATTGCTTGTAACTACCTTCAAATGTATACGAATTTTCGTAGGAATACTGTAAGTGACTAAAAAGTTATGATGAAATATAGCTCTCCACGTTCACGATCAAAATGTATGCGGCCTTTTTTGGCCACCGATAAACCTGTGTGTGGATATATAAACTGAATGTTATGCCAATAATTAGTTGTTTAGTTCAGTTGTCTACCTGTAGAATTTCAGCGTCGTACATATAATAATTTACGAAATAATTAAATAAAAGTCATTAGAAGGTGCAAGTCCGTGGTAATCCGACCATGTTTAGGTGGTTACAATAAAGCGATCACCCAGTACATTGCGCTGTCTTTTAAAATGTTTAGTGTAATACACCTTACGATTTCGGTACAGTTGCGTACAGTGTTAAATACATTCAATATTTATTCATTATTATTACCTATTATTTATTTTGTTTTTTTCCCTAATTGATCTTACGCACTAGTTTCTTTACTTAAAATTAATTTAGTCTTTTTTACTACCGGAGCTACAATCAACAGAAAATCTGCACTGGTCCGCTAAAATTATAAATATGTAGATACATGTATGAACGATTCACCTGACTGCAATAAAACTAAAATTTAAACCAATAAGAAATCGTTTCATTTCTTTGATTTTTTTTTGTAAAGAAATAACACTAAAGTAATTGTATTTTATTTTGGGGTGTATAGAGCTTAGACTTGAATGCATCAAAATATTTAAAGCAACAAGTTATCTACAATAAGTTAAAATAGACCGAATAGTAGAAGAATACAGTTGTAAATTAGAATGCATCAACATTGCATCGCCCAACAGACGTATACCTCGTAAGAGTAGGTAATATTGTTCTGTGGTCTATACCTAGAACCGAGAATTATCTATACCTATGTACCTACCGTTAAGCGTTGAGCCCGTTACTGTTGATTTCTGTTAAAAACGAACAGTTGTTGAATGATATTTTGATATAATAACGGTAATTTAATTTATCGAGTGAAAGTGATACATTTTTATAGATAAAATTATTGGTCAGATAATATTTGTCAATCAAGAATCGCTGATAATACATCCTTCGCTAGAACGCGGGAGGGGAGGGGCGAAGGGATACTTCATTGTTTGCAATTTGCATCTAGTGCACTAAACTTGACCCTTAGGCAGATAATATACGTGTTGTAAAGTACGTGTGCGCTTCCGCTTTCTATTTTTGCAAATATTTATCGTATTCTTGAGAGTTCTTCAATATGTGTGTACCTAATTACTAATAATAGGCATTAATGCTAATTCGATTCAATTTAAGTAATTGTCAATTCTTGTCTTAGGATATTAATTACTAATGCTAATATTGAAATTTCGTTCAGGGTGAACAAATTAAAAACGATCATAGGTACGACCATCTTTTAGGTAGACAACGATCATCTTTTAGGTAGGTATATCACTTATTACTAATTTTACATAAATAATTTATTTTATTATAATTTAACTTACCGCGATTTTGTGATCAAATATTTTATTTTCTCCAACATTATTACAGAAATAATGCAATACAGAGTTTGTTCGCGATATGCTAGCCTAAGTCGATTCATCACTTAAAAAAATCCCCATCTATTCACAAAATACCTATTTACAACGCATACGTTACACTCTTCAAAACTTATCATTTCATTTCATATTTCTTAAATTACCTATACCTACCCTAAAATTAAACTTCAATTAACAAATACTACGCAGGTACCAATTCTATGAACAACTATAAACAATTCACCTAAACATTACGAGAAAACAAAAGCATTCAAAATAATACCTAATCTCCCGGCTGATTACTAATTATGCAATAAACAATCCCAAATAAAAAATATTTAAAAAACATGTAGTTTTTTGTAACACTTATGTACATATCCGTAGTAAACTTGCAAATAATATCCTACATATTTTAAAAGCCAGCACAATGTACTGGGTGATCGCTTTTTTGTAACCACCTAAACATGGTCGGGTTACCACGGTCTTGCACCTTCTAATGACTTTTATTTAATTATCTCGTAAATTATTATATGTACTACGCTGAAATTTTACAGGTAGACAACTGAACTAAACAACTAATTATTGGCATAACATTCAGTTTATATATCCACACAAAGGTTTATCGGTGGCCAAAAAAGGCCGCACACATTGTGATCGTGAACGTGGAGAGCTACATTTCATCATAACTTTTTAGTCACTTACAGTATTCTTACGAAAATTCGTATACATTTGAAGGTAGTTACAAGCAATAGAATAACGTTTCAAGTAAGTCTTAAGAGGTCTTATTTAAAGTGTTAGGACGTATTTAAGTGTTTTCATACTTACCTAAATAGTTTTTAAACGGTCCATTATTTTTGTTATTTTATTGTCGAACAAATTAAAACTAATCCTTAAGAAGTTATGTACAAAAGATGGTTACAATCCGCTTACCCGTTTCAGAGATCCAGCAAACCCACAAACGTTACTCCAGCAGGATTTCGAATAACTTCGCAACCGAAGAAAATACAAATACCAAATAAGTTGTAACATTTACCTAGTCCAGATAACTAATTATTTAGCTAAAATTTATTTCAATATTACAATTAAAAAAGAAAATGTCTGGCTGCGGTAACGTTTCAAACGTTACTCCAGCAGGAAATGTTTTTTTGAAATAACTAAAAAAGTTTAAGTGAAACAAATTTAAAAATGTGCTTAACAATTACAGAAGGGGAGCAACTAATTATCTATAAAGTTTAAATGACCATTTTCGACATTATTTTGCTGGGGTAACGCACACGTGAAATCAATCATCAGCCTATCGCCGTCAACTGCTGAATGAAGGCCACCCCCAAAAGATCGTCAATTGTCAGGGTCTTGGGCAGTCCGCATCTATCCGCTGCCAGCCACTTTCTTCAAGTCGCCGATCTATCGTGTGGTCTACACTACTTTTGACTAATCGCGTTCGCGTTTAAATTAAATATATAAACGGTGAATTATATAAATATATATATATATATATATATATATATGTTGCAATAATAAAATACTTTAAAAATACTGTTAAAAAAAAAGTTTATACTCTGTATATAAAATTCTCGTGTCACAATGTTAGTTACCATACTCCTCCGAAACGGCTGGACCGGTTTTTATGAAATTTTGTGTGAACATCGGGTAGATCTGAGAATCGGCCAACATCTATTAATTACACCCCTAAATGACAAGAGTGACCCACCCCTAAATTTCTTTTTCAACATTTCCTAGAAATAATGTATATGGCAAAACAACGTTTGCCGGGTCAGCTAGTACACTGTATAAAAGCGAACTTAAAGCTAGAAAAAGCATTCCCTTCCTATCGTAAGTGAGAGTAGGTGCATTAAAGCGTGGGAGAGAAAACTGTTATTTTTTTTCTAAAAGTACCTACAATAGAAAAAATGAACATAAAACTGCCAGTGTTTAACTAATACTAAACTTTCCCATCTAGTATGAATCTATTAGCTGGTGACCATTATTACCAGCAGTACAGCATACCAATAGTGCCAACTATACCCAGTCATCTGTGGGATAGAAATACATCCCTAACTTAGTAGGGTAGGTACCTCAAAACTTGAAAATTCAGAAATCTAGTATGCCCAGACAAGGCATTAATTCTACATATCAAGTCAGACAGCACAGACAGTGTAGTGCTTAAGGCGATAAACTCCCCGCTTTCTACTGAGCCGAGAGTTGTGGTTTAGATCCCCACATGGGACAACACTTTGTGTGGTCCACAAATTGTTGTTCTGAGTTTGGTTATTCTTTGTGTCCATTTCATTTATGTTTTGTTCCCGGTGACAGAGGCAGAGTTGTCTTTAAAAAAAAATGTTTAAAATTATTATCTCATGTTTAATTTGTGTGGTTAAATAAAGTCTTTATAGTGTGGAATATACTTTATATATATTTTAACCCCAGGAAAAAGCTACATACAGGTCCAAAATCAATATAAATATTTTACACATTTTAAGATTTCAATTACATAAATAACAATTTAATAAAACAAAACAATAAAACCAACTTATTGCACAAAATGATACATAATGATGAATAACCTGCTTAATGTGTTTGATTAATAATATTGAATTTACTATGAAAACTAGAAAGCTGCTTACAACATGAACTAGTTTTAATTGTGCAAGACAATTCAAATTCCTAATGTTTATTATCCATAATCTTAATTGTTAATAAACAAGGCACTCTAAACATTCTTACATACAAGAACCCTATTTTCAAACTTCAAAAAGTTCCATACAACTGAAAAATCAATAAAAATACTTTATACAGTATAAATAACAATTTCATTACACAAAAAGAAAACACAATAAATTTACTGTACAAAATGTAATATGGCTCAAATAAAAAAAACCCTTGCACACTAACCTATTATAAAGTCAATTTACAGTATTTGAATGCCCAATAAAACGTAAATATAAATAGTATTCATTACGTGTCAATAGTATCTTCCAATCTACTTCTATAACTGTTTGATCTGTTATTAACTAACTCTCGCAGGTTTTTATCCTTCACTAACCTTACAATATCATCATAATCCCCCCCTATAGTATCTAAAACTTTAAACAAGTTTTCATTAGAACATTTAGCTATGTAGTTACAAATTAACCCACTTAAAAGAGGTTTGATATTTTCCGAAAATTCCTCTAGTTCTTCTATATCATTATCCTCAAATGAAGAACCATTTTCATTTGATTTTGCTATTGAATTAATTGTTTTCCACATACTGTAAGTTGGTTCTAAATATTTTGATGGCTCACATGTATCATTTACAGGCAATATATTAACAATTGTCGTTGTGGACTTTACTATGTCAAACAAGTCGGTGTCCATCTCTTTTAAGTTTAATTTGTTCTCATAATAAAGTAATATTATATTTATCATGCTGAGAGCTTCTTCAGTACTGCCGTTATATATTTCTGCGGATTTATCAAAGCCTAATAAATTTAAAACTATCTGTAGGCTTATTACAAAAACTCTTTCTAATTCCTCTTTTACACACTCATCACCATGGTTCTTTGTTATTTCACATAATGCTATTGTCAATGAGTCCAATGCGTGTGGAGTCACAAAGTAAGTGAAAAACTGCATTTGAAACTTCTCAGTATTACAATATGAACACACTGTATTAAAATTCTCTAAAGCTGTTACCAAAAGATCTTTGTGTGAGGAGTTTTTTAATATAAAATAAAGAGCACTTGAGTATTCTATGCTTGTGAAGATATCCATCCAAATACTGAGTTCTTCATCATTTGCAAGGAATAGACAAGCACTGACCAGCCTTAACAGTTGCACTAATAATAAACTATCATCATTATTAGATATATAACTAATTACCATATGTAATAGTCTTTCCATCTTCATTAGTACCCTCACTACAACGCGCAGACAGCACATGTTAGCAATAATACCGACAATTATTTCAATGATTCTGGGTATTTCAATAACCGGTAAGGCGAAATGAAACAATTTCAAAACATCATGTTTTTGGAGAAACAACACAACGTCTTTTTCTGCAGTCATGTCCCATAAAATGCAAAGATCATCTTCAAATGATTTTTCATTAATTTCATCCTTAAGAGTATTTAAATTAGCAAGTTTTAACAAAATCTTCAAAACAAATCGTTCGCTGTACGCTGTATCTCCTATTACGTCTCCAGCTATTTGGATTGGATTTTCAGCGTCTCCAGATACAGTTTCATTATCAGGTTTCATTTTGTTTATAATTTTACGCTATGATAACTCATGAAAACACTCTTACTGATTTAACAAGCGGTTGATCAGCTTCACAGATTGTCAACTTTAGCAGACTGAAATAATATAGTACAGCACAGCACAGAGTAATTCAGAGTACAGTGGTCATTGACCTAGTGGTAGGGATATTCACTTAACATCGATATATCGAATTTATTCGATGTATTCCGTACGATATATCGGATTGATTCGATGTTTTGACTAACATTTATTGTATTCAATATATCGATATATTTATTTATAGAAACATCGAATATTTGCTTTTTTTATTTTCTTGTCGAATCTATTAACGAACTAAATAATTTTAACACTACTTGATGCCTTCAATTTTAAATAAGGTTCATTAAGATAGTGACATCTGTGAGTGACCATCTTAATTATCTAATCTATCCTGACAGATCGATCGACTATTCACTCTCAATGTATGTATAGTCTGTGGATTCTATAGGTTCATTATATTTACTTACACTCACTTCACTCTTCTTGCGTCGTCTTCTTCTGTTTGGCGGTAACGCAAATAAATCATTGTTTTAATTGTTTATCTAAGACAAATTTATGTAAGAATTGTACTTGCTACTACAATTTATTACTCTAAAATAACTGATTTGACCTATCGTTTGATTGCTAGTTCGAAGTTGAAAAGGTATATAATATTATATTTCTATTATGTTTATGAACCTAACCTCTACTCGTTTGTGACAGTGTTTTATATTGAAGATATAATATAATGATCTTTTATATTATAATACATTTCATAATAATAAATATATTTCCTATTTTATTCTTATAAATGCTATATCATTATAATGAAGTAAGTAGTTATTCGATATGTTATAAAGCACTACTTACGTGTATTGCATCAAATCATTTCTTTAGTGTATTTTTCATTTAGTTTTTAAACTTGTAAACAAATTAACTCAATAGTGATATGACACTACATCAGACACAAAATAAAATTATGGAAAAAAATAAACATTAATTGATTTGTTCTTTTTTTAGTTAATTACAAGATGGCGCCTCCAAAGAAAAGTCATGTATGGAAGTTTTTTACGAAAATTGAGGGAAATGAAAACCTTGTAAAATGCAAAATTTGCCAAAAACTATTAAATCTTGTGGCAACACATCAAACTTGCTTAGTCACGTAAAAAATATCCACAAGGCTGCCTTTTTGGATATGAATAAAGAATATTCACAAGTGTTGAGCAATGTCAACTTACTAAATATCCACAGTGAAACAATTACAAAAACAAATGAAGCAGACTCTGAACCTGCTGTTCCCAGCCCTGAACCACTGCCATCAATAAGTACAGCTGTGTCAAAATATATCCATGTCGATAATCCTGTACCTCCGCCATTAAAACGGCAAAAGTCGATTGATGAAAGTTTCAAAAATATATCTGCTTATTCGGAAAGCGGCAATAAAACTTTGCAAGTCAATAATGCCCTCATCTACATGATTTGCAAAGATAATCAACCTTTCACGATTGTAGAAAATGACGGATTTCGTAATATTATGAAAATAACTGCACCGCATTACAAGCTTCCAAGTAAGACAACATTGACTCGCTGGGTTGATGACAAATATGATGCATTATCAGCTGTGTTTAAAAATAAATTAAAATGTTTAGAAAATATAACACTTACAACCGATATGTGGACAGAAACAATGAGTATGAGAAGCTTTCTTGGAATTACAGGTCACTTTGGTATATGTACCGAAATTTTTTCTATTACTCTTGGAGTATATCAGTCATTTGACCCTAACACTTCGAATCATATTGCTGAGATGCTTCTGAAGTCTTGTTCTGAATGGGACATTGACGTTGATAAAGTTTCGGCTGTAGTAACGGATAACGCAGCATCTATGATTAAGGCGGTCGATCTGGCCTTTGGTAAAAAACACATACCGTGTTTTGCGCACACTTTAAATTTAGTTGCGTTAAATGCGATACAACACTGTCCAGAATTACAAAATCTAATAACTAAGGTCAAGACCATTGTAACATGGTTCAAACAAAGTAATACAGCAAGCAATGAATTAAGAAAAGCCACAGAAAAAGAAACAAAGTTAATTCAAGAAGTTTCAACAAGATGGAACAGCACTTATTATATGATTGAGAGATTTTTAGAGTTACGCATTGTAATCCATGATATAATATTTCGTCATAGAACAGCGCCACCTATGCTCAATGCATCAGAACTGTCAGTTCTTTCTTCTGTGTTACTAGTCTTAAGACCGCTCGAAGCTGCTACTAAAGAAATTTCTGGAGACAGATACTGCACAAGCAGCAAGGTGATTCCGTTAGTTCATTGCTTAGTTTTAAAAATCCAACCTCTCCAATTGGAAGACTCACTTGCCAATGAATTGAAATCGTTTGTGCTTAATGAAATTGAAAAAAGAATGGGCGCTATCGAAAGAGTAACTCCACTCGCCATAGCAACTGTATTGGATCCCAGGTATAAAAAAATTCATTTCAGAGACGCACTTGCTTGCTCTACAGCAGTCGCAAAAATTAAAGACTTGATGAAAAATACTACACAAAATGTCGAAATGTCCGAATCAGATTCTGATCAATCTGAAAAACAAGAAGAGAGTTTTTCCTTATGGGATCATCATCACAAACTAGTAAGCAAGAGTTGGAAATCATCACAATCAGATGATGCAATTTCTGATGAATTATCGATCTACTTGCGTAGTCCAGTATCAGGAAGGCTCAATGAGAATCCTTTAGAGATTTGGCAAGATCTAAAAATTCAATTTCCTAAGCTTTATAAGATTGCCTTCAAATACTTAACTATTGTCGGAACTTCTGTTCCATCCGAACGTTTATTTTCAAAGGCTGCTCAAATAGTCAATCAACAAAGAAATAGAATGAAAGGTAAAAGATTAAGTAAACTTTTATTTTTGCAAAGTTTGTCTAAAGAGCATTGGTCTTTAATAGGTAAAGTGAAAGTAAGTTTTTGCAGGTACCTAGATTAAGGCTAGTACTAAATATGTATTTTTTTTCTTTTACTGTTTTCAAGTTTTGTGGTATGTAATAAAATATTTCTATTAATTTGTCGTTTTTATTTCACTTACAAATGTAGGTATAACTTATTTCAGTCATCTCACCACTATCTTAGTAGTACAATTCTATTCAAGTAACACTCATAGAAAATCACTATTATTACACTACTAGTTTAGCTATGTTACTCTGGTCTCTAATTCTACATTCATACTTACAAAATCAAGGACCACAAACTTTGTGCGTTTCACTGGAAAAAGGTAATATTAAATTTTTGTGGAAAGTATTCGATAGTGAAAAAATATCGATGTTTTCTAGCGATATATCGATAAACATCGATGCTGGGATCCAATATTTTACATCGGATATAAATATCGATATATTTTTTAAGTGGACACCCCTACCTAGTGGTCTATTGTTCGGATTCAGTGTTGCCAACAGTTAAATTAACTCTTCACCAGATTCAAAATCTAAAACCACAAGGAAACCAAAAGTTAAAAAAGGCCTTACACTAATAGTCGTAAAATTTTCCACTAAACAAAATCACTTTTTTGTTATCACGAAATGAAACAATGTACTTTTTGTTTTTTACGTAAGTATAATAATTAGTTTTCTTTATTATAACGTAATATTAACATTCAAAATCAACATACAAATAGTAAATCAACAAATTAAGAGCAAGAACATAATAATATAAATTATTCAATAGCAACAGTTACATATTTAATTCGTCTTCTTCAAATTTATCGTTTCTGTCTTCACTATCATCATCGGTTTCAGATTGATATCATTCTTTGGTACCGATTTGTTTTAAAACGTTTATTAGAATTTTTTATTCGTTGCAGCATCATTTTCCTTCCAACCTCAAACCACAGCGTATTCTTAACATATCAGATAAAAGGTTTAACTTCATTCTATTCCTATGCTTGTTTTTATTACATTCTCACTGCTTAATAGTTTCTTTACATTGTCATTGGAATACTTCCTCAAATCTCGAATTCCCTTGGACATTTTTAAAGTGCAGTACTTCCAGTATGTAGAAGTTCCTTAACACGTTGGGCATTGGCAGACACCAACGAACCGAGTTTCGAACAACCATTCTGCTACTCACCTGGATCATCGATCAATCATGAATCCTCAACTATATCGCTAGTCTCACCGGACCCAATATCGTCAACTTTGAATTACCTCGTGTGCCTTCTGGAGACATTAAAGAGATCATTCTGTTTGTCCGTTTTGCTGCCGTTAGCCGTAGGATGATAGTTATCATCCTGGATTATGTCCTCGAAGTAATAGCCTACATTATTGATTTCTTTCTATATTTCTCTTCTATTGTCTGCGCCGGAACCTGCCGCTCTCTCTGGCATAAAGCCTACATCATCCTATTGGCTGAAATTAATTAACCTTCTCTTCTCGTCTTATCTTCATCCTTCCTTTCTTATCAAAGGTTCTTGCGTTTTATCAAACAGTTCTCACAGTTCATCTTTCAACATCATCTCCTAAGTCTTCTACAATCTTACCAGAAAAATCCACTTTCACTTACCTATTCGTGTAATGTAAAAAACCTGTTAAGAGGAATAACCTATTCCGTCAAGTTATTTTGAATCTAATTCTAAAGCAGTCTCAAACTCAAATCAATCTTGAAAACGACGCCTATTATACAGTTATTAAGTACTTGACAAGACAAGAAATTGTTACCACGTTCATATAATAAAAATAATCTAAGAAGTGCATTTTGGCAGGTGAAACTGACGTTCTATGACTAGAGAACGCAGAGAACGAAACTGCATGATTTGAACGAAACAAAACAATTCGAATTTAAGTTAAACAATTTTTAAATAAGTAATTATTTATCCCACTTTGTTATATTAAGGTAATGGGAGATAATTCACTTTAATTTCTACAAATTATTTAAACAATCACGTGATTCTTTATTTTTTCGTGATGTCATAAAACAGTTACGTTCTATGATTTAATTTCATTGTTACATTTTAATCGCTACGGAGGTAAAGTTTTTTATTATTCTATTTATTTTACAAATCGTAGCGTAAATTCCCTTCCAGCTGATAATAGTTAATTATGAGTGGTACCGAGCCCTTCCACCAGATTAATCCAAGTGCAAACTAAAGAAAAGTAAAATTAAATTAAAGTAACCGTTTTTCAACCCGCTTCCATTCCATAGCCACAACCGCGCTCTTTATCCTTGTTGCCATACCAAATTGTTGAAAAAAAGAGTATATGAATAACTTTTTTCAAACTGTTATTTATGTATTGATGATCATAAATTTATTTCTAATCTGAATCGATTATTCTTACCTTGGCTTTGTAGACAACCCAACCCTAAACTAAAACTGTCAAAATGCATCTTTTAAATTATTTGGACTATTTTTACAAATTTATTATTTTTAATTCTTTCAAAAAATAAAGGAGTTTAAGATAAGACGCTATTTAGTTTAGGTAAATAATAATAATGTATAACTTTAGGTAATAAAAATGAAAGACTATTTAAAAAATCAAATTTTATAATCTGATGTACCATGTAACAAAAGAAACTTTCTGTTTCTATTTATTAACAAATAGTAAATACTTGTAAATTAAAGATCAACTTTAATAATATTATTGCTTACAGTAAGTGAACTTGGTATCATATGATCTATGTGAAAGCACAGTTTGTCCTTAACATAATAAATATTATAACTAGTTTTCAGAAGCCTTCACTTTCTTAGGAGGGCCGTCATCATCTTGGTCTTGTCTCCTCTTTTTACCATGATATTTGTTACCACCCTTCCTGCCTTTATTCTTCTGGAAATTCTTCATATTCTTCCGCCTTTTGGACATTTCTTCTATAGTTTTGTCTAAATAAATCTTTTCTTCATCCCCTTCTAAGACTTTAAATACAACTTCAGCATCATTAATTTTCACTTTGTCATCTGTCATCTTTTCTGCTAATTCCTTAGCTGTGTTTTCTTTGGCCAGGCGCACCCATCCCTCTTTGTCACCAACTTTAAAGTCTATATATGCTATATCAGCACCTGTGGTCGAAAAATTTACTTTAGTTGTTAGCAGAGAGGCGTTTTTACTAGATTACAGTAACTTCAGAAAAAAAATAAAAAATAAAGCTGTTTTCATATGTAAAAACAATTATTATAAATTGTTTACATATTGCAGCTAGAATGAAGGTGTGATTAAAGAAAGTAAAAATCAAATAATGAAGTTAATCACATAACATCTGAGAGGGGTGAAGAGGGTTTTGGGGGTCTAAAATAAAGACTTGTATACTTTACAAATGCCGTGATGGTAGATTGTTCTTTCGACTGGCAATCTATCTAACATAGTGTTGCCAACAGAAATTGATATTGAATAACTTCTAATTAGTACAATAATTTCCAAATAGGTAAATAATTTCAGAAACTACCAAGCTTTGCCTTTTTATTGTAAGAAAAATTAGTATTTATGTATTTATTTGATGAAATGATTGGATTTAGTGACAGTGATTTCACATGTGATTGTGTGATTTCGTTATAGACAAAGGTAATGCCATTAAAATCAATTATTTATTATTATCAAAGATTACCTTCTTTTTTTTGGATTTAGGTCTTTCGAGAGTCTTGCGCTAGCATACTAATAATAATGTCGCAGAGGTTTTGTAAATCAGTCACAGGTGTGATTACATGATTTATCACATGTGCTTGTGATTTAATTCCATCCCTAATTGATACTATTATACCATATATATCGTAACATATCTAAATTATTAGATAGAAATCACCTTGAGTAGTGAGCTTAGTTGTGTGTGAGTTAATAAATAAATAATCTTTCTACAAAGCCTTGTCACAGAATGCTACAGTACTATTCTGTAAATTTATATTATTATAATATGGTGCCAAATGTTTTCAGGTGTAGTGATGATGCAAAATTTCGTTTCAACTACCATCATCACCAGCATTTTGGTAGGGAAAGGTAACCACATGTTTTTTTTTCATTTATTTAACACAAAATATACAATAAACATGTTAGCTTTAACATTGCAAAGACCTTAACAGCTTTGTCTGGAATGTGGATAAGAAAATAAGAAATTATCTTCATATGTTACCTAAAGGTGTAAGTGCTTCCTTTACATCTTCTCTTTTCATGGTCTCTGTGCCTTCACTGAAGTGCAGTACCGTACCAGTTGGCAGTTTAAAATCCTCCTTTTCAGCATTGGACTAAAAATTTATTACAAATCGTGTCATACATTTTTAAACAAGCGAGCCATTATGGGACCAGGTCCAGAAGGATCATGATTGTCAAGTTGAGAACAGTTTGGGGTGCAAAATGTGTGATGTAATAGCAAAATAGTCACACACAGTGTGTGAAATTGACATGAATGTCATGTTATATAAAACATCACAATATTTCTGAATGTATGAAGATGTTTGATTTATAATAATCATTACTTTATTTCATTGGGCCACTTTCGATGTGTAAGGTACTTGTAACCACAGCAAAACAATGTCAATGTCAAGTTGCGAAGCATCTGTGATTGTAGTGCTCATTTTTAAATTTGTTGAACTTGTAGTTGTTAAACTAAAAGGGGCCGCTATGTATATTTTATAATATTCCAAATCTATCAGCTATCAATAGCGAAAGATGGGAGGTCTCCCATCTTTCGCTATTGATAGCTGATAGATTTCTGACTCATAGAACTCTGGCTATGACATTGATTTTCAGGCAGGAAATAAAAACTATGATCCAGAAGGGCATTCTAGGTGACTCTTCCAATGAAAAAGCCCCTGCTCATTTTGCATGTATGCAAAATATGCTATTTATGTCCGTCAAAAGCTCACACAACAATTTTAATAATAATGATATGGTTTTTAATGCATAATTATTATGTTTCTGTAAAACTAATTTAGAAATCTAGGGTTAAATGACTGTTTGCGACATTATTTTGCATTGTAATGCACACACTTAAGACATAAAGGTTTATTTTCACTATTGGTTTAAATATTACTCACTTCCTTTTCTTTTTCCTTTATTTTCTTTTCCTTTTGTCCTTTTTTAGACATATATTCTTCCTGTTTCTGTTGGACATAGTTTTCTTGCCAGAGGATTATTAATTCATTATCTTGATATTTATGGCCTTTGGTGTTTAAGAACTTTTCTGCCTGTAATTTATGAAAATAGTATTTAATAAAAGGAACAAACTATGGATATAGCATTGGATATAGCAACACTAATAGTCCTAATATGTAATTTAAGTAATTTAAAAAAATTACCTGCTCCTTAGTTTTAAAAGTAGCAAAAACAGATCCCTTGAATAGGCGATGTTTTGAAGATTTCTCTACATATTTCCTCATTATAACATTTTCAACTTGTTCAAACTGGGAAAAGTATTTCAGAAGATCATCCAGAATAGAGTCCTTTGGGAATCCTTTAGCATAAATGGTCCGAGCAGTAATTTCCTTCCTGCGTTCCTCATTCATCTCAGGCACTGGCATGTCTGGATTTCTTCGAACTTTCTTGTTGTCTTCAGAAATCTAAACAAGCAGTTCTGTATATTATAGCAGTTCCTCAATTTTTCCTAACTCTTGCGGGTGCCGGGTCCGGCATGACATAAATGGGGGCAACAATTACAAACATCAGGCGCAAAACGAAATTAGCCTAGCCTAGTCGCAAAGTAAGAAAATGGGAGAAGCTAAAAATGATGTTAGGCCTTCTTTGGCAAGTAAGAGTGGCAGCAGATAGAAAGCACTGGTAGGGACTGAAACAGGCCTATACTCAAAAGACATAGTATTATAGACATAGATTTGATGTCCTTTATTTATTTTTTAAATGAACACTAATGAATTCTATTTATTCAGCACTATGGTTGTGGTTAAAAAGAAAATTTTTAGAAGAAACTTACTAATGATCATACATGCAATATTAGTAATATAAATGTTTCCGTTCCCTTAGACCTTGACTAAAAATGTAGTTGTCAAAATGTAGATATTTCAAACAATTGTCTTTATCTCCAAAATGATAATAACATCTTGTTAATAACATTATTTGGGATCAATATATGTATTTACTTACCTCCAACAGATTAGATGTTGATTTGTGGAGTGCCTTAGCAATAACATCAGCATCTTTAGACAGTTGGGCAAGACGGTTGAACCTGATGAGGATTTCTAACGGCACCCATCCATCATCAAGCAATACCTGTTCACGTAAGAATTTGTCACGAGAAAGATTCACGTCCCCTGTAAGCAAAATTTTTTTTACATTATAATATTTCACATTGAATATTTTAGATTAGAATACTTTGTGATGCCATTTTTATGTACTTTACAAGGTTTAAGAAGTGTTTTTTTGTACACTACAAAATGACATATGCGTTATTAATGTTTTACTGATTATAAAAAGGAAATAAAAAGTTTTGTTCTGAATATCTGTTTACAATTTTTTTATAGTTTTCATTAAGATTAATATCAGACTTCAAACTTAGTATAAATGTTGCAACATATGACAAGAGAACTAATTCTTGTAACAATAGTTCGGTCATAATTCAGTTGCGATCAACTCTCAATCTTGCCGTCATAAAACTTATTTTCGTAACAAAATAGTAAAGTATTCCTAAGACTGGCAGATTACCGATTTTCAGTTACAATATGATATAATCACATTGCAGTCAACATTGGATGTTTCATAATTTACTACGCAAACACCTTTTATAACAGTTATGTGATAGAGAGTTGATCGGAACTGAATTGTGACTGAACTTTTATTACAAAAATTGGCCTTCTGGAAGTACTTGGTAGGCTGTAGTGAATATTATATATACATATTTATTTATCAATACATTTACAAAGCGTAGTCTATTGTGGATAGTAGCTAGTGTAACATATACATTGAATCATATGTAATATACGTACTTGTGTAAGTGTTCGATACAAACAATCCTTAAATACATTTTACGTCAGTTAAGCGTCATCTGCAATAGATGCATATCTACTTACCGAAGTAATACTCCACCTGGCGAATAATCGCGCTTTCAAGCTCCGTTTCTTCTTCATTGTTGTCTGCATTCTTATTATTCTCTAGCCCATTACTATCAGATACTATTTCTTTAGTCTCAGTCATCTTTACGTACTCAGCAATTTAATGTATTTCTAGATTCGGAGATATCGGACTTAAATTCGCCTTTTAACAATACGGGCGAAGCAAACGTAATTTCCTGATTACTGTAGCAAAATTACCAGAAATTCAATCGAATAAACAAAATGTATTAGAAAACACGTGTTAATTTTACCACACGCGGCCGGCGTTAGTGAACATTGAAATGAAGGGCCGGAGGAAGCAAGCTGCCAATCTGACATTTTCGTTCAGAAACAACATACATAATTTCTAAAGTCTATGGTAAAATCATTCTGCATAGACAATAAAACTCTTCAGGTCTTGCTCCGCCCTCTTTTTCTCGGGCATAACTTGCTCGCAGAAGGAGGTGGTGGAGTTCCACGAACGCTGGGCATTCTAGCAGCGTATGGTGTGCGGTATTCACGATCTGGCCACCGCATTAGTGTCATCCAGGAATAGTCTGCTGATGAGAGAGTCCCGTATTTCGTCTCTAGCCAATTCTCCATGACGATTTTACCGTGGTTATAATGCACCCAAACCTCGCCAAAGCTTTCGATAGTATATCTTGCTCTATACTTTTGAATAAGCTCGAAGCACTTGGGATACGGGGAACACAACTTCGCTTAGTTTCGGATTATCTTAGTGATCGCCGTCAATGTGTGAAAATTGGTCAATACTTAAGTACTGAAGCAAAGAATACTGGCTATGGTTTTCCCCAGGGCAGCGTTCTGGGCTGTACCTTGTTCCTAGTTTACATCAATGACCTCTGCAGCCTGAAGATACCAAGTGGTGTCATAATATCTTATGCGGATGACACGGCTTTATTATTTGCAGCGAAATCTCGTAGTGAAGTTTTTGAGCTCGCTCAGACAGGTTTTAACATAGTGACTAACTGGCTATATAAAAATCTACTAACCCTAAATACAGATAAAACCAAATACATTATATGTATTTTCAATGAGGGGTACAAACATTCCTATAATTAGTCCAAAGATATACGCACATAGCTGCAAAATATCTGCTGACTTTGCGTGTACCTGCCCTGCTTTAGCAAACTCCGATGAAGTGAAATATCTAGGTGTCATCCTTGACCAACACTTGAATTTCCGTAAACACGTTGACTTATTATTTACAAGGGTACGAAAATTAATATATATATTTATGTACTTCGCAGTGTAGCCGATTACACATTATTAAGGCAAGTCTATTTATCGTTGTGTCAATCAATACTTACTTATTGCATTACTTCATGGGGTGGTGCAGCAAAGTCAATATTACTGCCTTTAGAGCGCGCTCAAAGAGCCATTCATAAGGTGGCGACATTCCGCCCATTCATATTTCCCACACACGAGTTTTACATTGCATGTAATGTACTAACAGTCTGACAGTTATTTATATTGCACAGCATTCTAAAACAGCATACTGAACTTCCGTATAACCCCATACCATCAAATAAGGGAAGGAAGGACATAGTGTGTAGCAGGCCTCAAGCAAGTCATACATATGTTCATAGATTTTATTTATTTTTAGGACCTTTTTATACAATAAAATTAATAGAATACTAAATATATACAGCCTCAATAATAAAAAATGTGTGATCATGTTATCAGAATATTTAGGTAAATTTAACTAAGCTAACTATTAAATGAGTCTTAAATAGTTTTTGTAGAATAATATTTTCCATTATTTATTTTCGTACGTGTACACTTTATAGTATTTTTTTATATTTTCTAGTGATATGTTATGTTTATCTTACATTTCTACCTTAAAAATTCCATGTCAAGCGATCGCCTGAAACACAGGTTTACCCTAGTTCAGGCAAGCAGTGACTAAAGTTTTTAACAAAATCGTAATATCTTTATATAGATTTACGCTAGTGTAACTTAGTCTAATTATTGTCTAAGATCTATGTTAAACTGAAATGTCCTACACTGTAATATTTATATTGGTCAAATAAATTATTATTATTATTAAAATGGCGTGCCCGATGCTTGGTTTGCACAGTCTTTCCTTCCACTCCTCCACGGGGACCCGGATTAGTTGGGCTTTCTGGTCCCCTATTTCTAGAGCCCCAGAAATCTCATCTAGGGCTCAATGTCGAATGCCAGTGTCTCCTGCTATGAAACTGAATCTCTCAGGTGATGCCTCATCGAAGAACAAGGCATGAGATTAATGCAGAGACACCTCGAGACCAAGTTGTCGGATCCTCAAGGTGCGCCTTACCACATGCCGTCACTGACGTGTCGCTGACGTCTGTGACGGCGACACCATCCAAGAAGGCACCCAGTCACAGTCAATGTTCCTCAGGGGCGGAATACCACATGACATTTCTTGCCAACCGAGACCGAGTCCTATTTAGGTAGATGACAGATCCGAATCCCTCTTAGCACCTGCCTTCAAAAGTACGGCACCACCTTCGGGGAAAAACTCTCATTTAGAAGACGTCCGCCCCACGAGGACGTCATTCCCTCGCAGTAGGCATTCGTGGCGACTGGCGAGTGGATTAGAAAAAACGTTCACCTTCTACACTCAGGGTGGCGTGAGGCGCTGGAAGGCGCGCCAGTCGTGGAACATGTAACAGCCAGCAGCGAGAAATCTTCTAGGCTATGTTAACCACTGAGTGCTGAGCCAAGTTTTCACTGCAGTAACAGGCAGTCGCAGCGATCGACTGCGGGTACTTCCCATAGCAGACGTGCCCAGAAAAGGCCTGGGTCAGAATGTTTTTACTTCCCGTACTGCCACTGCCAAGGCGCCAGAGCCTCTTAAATTTATCTTAAATTTATGTTGTATGGTTTTTGCATAAAAGTTGATTCTGCTCATAGACAAAACGCAAAAAAGATATTTCTGGCAACCCTGAGTCGTGAGCCGTAAATTCGTTTGTACTTATACAAAAATCAAAACATAACCTCTACAAATTTGAATTATTTGTTACAAAACAAAAGTCAAACATTTATGATTATGATGTTTCGAGAACAAAATAAATAGAAGCCCTTGTTAAACCTAATGGTTTTGTAAATATGGGAGTTCGAGGTTTAACTACTTACATAAATTACAACGAGCATGCGTTTCTACAAGAGTTTTTGCTCCATGATTGTTGCCTGATTATTGATGGGCATAGCCTGTGTGCCCAATTATACCGATTGCTCAACAGTTTTTCTGCATTTGGCGGAGACTACGATAAAATCGCAAATTATGTTCGTAACTTTTTTAAAAGTCTAAGGAAATGTAATGTAACCCCATATGTCTTGTTCGATGGAAGCTACGAGCGGAGGAAACTCAAGACAGCATATTCCCGCTTAAAATCTAAAATATTTGGTGCATCTAAGTTGGACCCAGTCACACAAGGCAGTATTCAAATTTTTCCTTTATTACTTCGCGATGTATTTAGAGAAGCTCTATCTGACATGAATGTACCATATACTGTGTGTGAATTTGAGGCTGATGATGAAATAGCGGCAATGGCGAGGCATTTGGACTGCCCCGTTCTGAGTTATGATTCAGATTTTTTTATTTATAATGTTCTTTATATACCTTTTAATACTCTGGAATTTAAACCAAGGCCAGTAGACGTTGATGGCTCCAAAAAGATGGCGATGGAATGTAAGATTTATAGAGTTGAGCATATGATCTCAAATTTTGGGGGTTTAAAAGAGGAACTGCTTCCTCTACTTGCTACATTACTTGGTAATGATTTTGTTAAGAAGAGGGTATTTAATAAATTCTTTTCTCAGTTGAAACTGCCCAAGACTAAAAAAAAGTTTAATGATCAACAAAGATGCATTCATGGTTTGTTTAAATGGCTTCAAAATGAAAGTTTAGATTCAGCTATTGCTAAAATTCTTGGTAGATTGAAGAAGAAACAAAAAAATAAAGTTCTTTTTATTATAAAGAGAAGCATCGATGGATACAACAGTAAACATTGCAGATCACTTAAATATTTTAATTTACCTGAAGTTGAAGTTGCCCAATCAGATTGGCAGCCACCTGAAGATATTGATCAGGAAATAAGTTCTTCAGATGATATAGATGATGAAGAAGATAACAATGATCACCAGTCCTCAGAGAATGATGTTTCTTCTGAGGAAGAAATTGAGGATGAAGAAACTGATCAGTTGGTTCTGGGACTACCTGAATGGTTTGCGGAAGGTATTCGACGTGAGTATATACCGAGATCTTACATTAATCTATATACACACCACCTATACTTCTGTTCACCTCAAGCGGAAGATTATTATGATGAAGACTCTTTCCTGTGTTGTTTACCGTTGGTACGATATGCCTTTGATTTGTTAACGGATTTCTCTCAAGAGCATTTCATTTACGTCAGCAGAGAAAAAAATACTGGTTACAAAAGAATATTTGTTGATAAAGAGCTTAGTATTGCCAGGCCTTATGATGACATATTCAGTCAATTAACAGAAGAACAACGTAAGCTTTGTTTCAACCACTTCTTAAAAGAACAAATGCCTAAATTAGATGTGACGGCAATTGACATATTGCCTGCGAACTTTCGTATTTTTTTCTTAGCCATGCTGTGGTGGGTTGGAAAATGTGAAGTCCCTTTAGGCAGTATACACAGTCTTTTAATGTCCTATACAATGTTAGAGGCAGTTGATGAAAAAACCGGCACTTTCCGAGGCCACAAGCAATTTCAAAATAATTATTCTAAAAAAATTGAGGAGTTGAAAGTCAATTCAATTCCTTTTATATACAATAAAGAAGAACTCTTTTTGAATAAAAACAAAGTTCAATATGAAGACAGTTTATTAGCAGCCAATGCTCTTCTTAAACATTTTGAATTAGACGACAAGCTTAACAAAAAGCCTAAGACTTATGACACTAGAAAGATGCATATGTTTGCTCAGTTTCAATGCTGTCTGATGCAATTTAATTGCTTGAATACACTATGCTGCAGTCCTTTTGAATCGACTAAATACTCAAAATCTTTTAATGGCACATTTGTGTACAATGTGGCAGTGAAATTAGAAAATCAGGCAGACCCTAAGAATTTCTTTGAGCAGTACCTCAAAGGGGCTACTACTGTTTTAATGTTTTATAAAAGTTTATGTAGTATTTATGAGAAATGTGCTGAACAAATGAATTTGACTACATCCAAATGGATGGGCAAGAAGAAAGGAAGAAGAAAGAAAACTAATGTGGATGAAGATGAAATTAATTTTATAGTGAAGGGTTTTGAATCTGAAGTTATTATTTAAATCAAAATATTTATGTGTATTGTTATCAATGTAATAAAATCAATGATTTCCCATAATTTATAACTATTTCCGAATCGAAATGAGTTCCTAATCTATCCATTTATATTATCAACTTCGTTCACTTGGAATTTGAAAAGCGATGCCTTAGTACCTACTTATACTTACGGTACTCGACTGCAGTCCATCATGAGGCCTCGGGTTCGATTTCCGGACCAGGCAAAACTTTATAGGGTTTTCCTGAGAGGAAAAATAGCCCAAATTACTCCTTATACAGACAGCTACCTGGTAGTAAAATATTATGGACAAACAGACAGCAGTCTGTCTGTTTGTTCCAGGTAATCTGCCTGTCTGTCCATCTGTATAGACTGACAAAAAGGTTTTTAGGCATAGGTATCTAGCAAATAACCATGTGAGCATGAAAATAACCTAGTATTTGACATTGGTGCTGATTCTGTTGTTCAAAAACTCTCTAAACTAAAAAAAAATTGTTTAGTCCTGTCAAGTACTACGTTTTCAGAATAGGAAGCGCTGTTTGACGGGACTAAACAATTTTTAGTGATTTTTTGTTTAGTTTAGACAGTTTTCAAACAACAGAATTAGCACCATTACAAATAGACACTTTATTTATTTGTGTAGATGGGTAGGTATTACTTTATTTTTAAAACCTAAGATAGGTTTGCAATTTGACCGACTTTATTGCTTCCGAATACACTGTGTCATACACAAATTGTTGTTCTGAGTGGGTGTTTCATGTATGTTTGTATAGTCCCCAGCGACACGATAATAGAATATTCCTAGTGCAAAAAAAAGAATAGTGGAAAAGTAAATACGAGTAGGTACTTAAGTACGGAGTACCTAAGATAGGTCTATTGTGGTTCTAAGAACTTCGTCCCGTTTGACTTAGTCGACTAAGGTTAAAATAATTTGCCCAATAAATAGTTGGTAAAAAAGTCTATGTTTTTTTAAGTTGATGCTGTTTTAAATGATGCTAAGGTCAATTAGACACGCCAAAAACATAATTCAGTCTTCAAAATCTAATAATTTCAATTATTAATAAGGTGCAGTAGGTACTAATACCATAATATAGGTTCAAAGATTGCTCAGCGTATTGTAAGCCTTTTGGAGGTGACCATTGCTTTTTTCAAGATCTAAAGCGAGGAAAGACGTTCACTAAAGAGCGACTAAAAAGAAGAGAATTCCCATAGTAGTAGTCTCCCATAGAAAAGGCCACGGCTTCACTTGGTTACGCGCGTGTGACTGTTAACAGACTCTTCGTAACCACCAAATCGTTATCTAAGTAACGATTATTCAACCTGCCTGAACATATAACGGTGTACTAAATAGAAAAAAAAAAGAAAAAATGAGACAGCAGTTTATAAAAATATTTTTTATTCAACGTTTCTTCTCATACGTTACTCTTATATCTAAAGTCGACAAATTATGTAATTTCTCACCTAAAACATAAAATCCTATGCCTACAATTGAACTAAAGGTAAAATATAGCATTTTCATCGGCCAACTGAACACATTTAAGAAAGGGTACGCCCAGATGCCTGTCGAAAGAAAAACAGCGTATAAACAACATATATAGGCTAAATTAAATATTAAAGCTACACTAATACCTAAAATTCTAGATGGATAATTTCTGTTAGATATAAATAGTTCTATTAATATAAATGGGACTATGAAAGTGTGCATAGTGTGGTTAAGCCAACTTGGAAATTCAATTTCGATGTCGTCTGGAAATATTAATTCTTTGTTGACTATGTATAATCCCCAGAAAGCAGTTGCTACATATATTGCTATCGTAAAAGATAGACTGAACACTGTGTCTTTAATTTTTCGAATTAATGGCGGTTTTTTTGGTGCTGTTGCATTTGTGCCGAAGATGTCATTTAATAAGGCAATTGTGAAGTACACTGTTTGAAGCACCTGGAACAAATGAAGAAGATTTAAGTAATTATTTTATACATATTCTACATTCACAGTGATGTTGTTGTCTGACTCTCTTCACATTTTACTAGACCTAAGATGTGGAGGTCTTCGTTGGTCTAATGTGTTGCCTATCAGATGATCAGGTTAAGAAAGTAAGAAGTCTAGAGTATTTCGTTTTTTGGTACGATACTATACCATATATAGTCAAGTCGGGATAGTATTGCTAATATTATTATAGCGATTCTACCATATGTTAAGTATATTACATCTCTATTAGGTTATAATCATAGATCGGAATCTTGGTTGCTATTACTATCAAAAGTATGGATATAACCAAAAATGCCCGGGAATCGGTACCTTTACAAAAATAATCCGAGAATTAGAATTCTGAATGATAATGATTCTTGTGCTTCTATACAACGTTTTTTTTTCATATTTGGAATGTTTTAATTATTTTCTGTAGCACCTTTAAAGATTACCCTATCTATTCATTTGTAAGTCTCTACTGTTTAAATCTAAACGCTTAATACTAACGAATAAACGTATTCCTTAACCAAACGCGATATAAGTTTTAAATCATATGACGGGCCTGTTGGTCGAGTGGTTAGTGCCCCTGGCTGCTAAGCCGGAGGTCGTGGGTTCGATTCCCACCCAGGACAAATATTGTGTGATGAGCATGATCATTTGTTCTGTGTCTGGGTGTAATTTATCTGTAATATGTATGTATTTAAAAATATATAAGTATGTTTATCAGCAGTCTGGTCACCATAGCACAGGCTCTGCCTAGTTTGGGATCAGACGGCCGTGTGTGAAATGTGTGAGGTATATATTATTATTATTATATCAAATATTTTTAAACCTTACCATAATTACCGGAATCCCTGGAATATCGTCATATCCATACTAGTGATATCGTCTCAAATAGCGCCCAAATTCCGATCACTAATTATAAGTAATATTGGCGTAGGCAGTTAGCGCTTCGCTACCTTCCTATCTCAAAGAACGTTTCGCTGGTTTCGCATCACAATTTTTTCATTCAGATATATTTTAATAATGATAAAGATATTTGACATTGGTATTATTCACACAATGCCCAGATGACCTCCGACCAATCGTAAAGACCTTTATATTGTCTGACGGAGACTAGATATCGGTGTGTTGGTCAAACCAATGACCTCCGAACGCGATGAATCGTTTGATTTTTATCTTAATATAAAACAGTTTTTGTTGAGTTTAGCAAATATAAACAAAAATATCAGAACGAAAAACCATTTTTCAATTAGTATTGACAAATGGAAAACGCCACCTACAATGTGTCTAAATGCTTTAAAAGTTAAAAAAAAAACATTTAAAGGAACTTGGAATGTTTTTCAAATATTATAGTTTATAAAAAAACTATAACTATTTTACAATTGTACTTATTGTATATATACCTACTTATAGGTACGTTTTTCTAAGTAAAAGTATGTTTAAAAGTAATACCATGGACTCTAAAACTAGTCTAAAACCATGTAAGAAGTGAGAAGTCCAAGTAAGAAGATAAGCTTAGTAATCTTCTTTTACTACTTTTCACGTCATCAATGATTGTAACCTAAGCTTTACGATTATGTATCGGATCACGAATGAAATTGACTTTAGCTGCAGATTTCAAAAATATTTAAACACAGATTTAGGTATATATATAATGTATAGTGCAATCGTGCTATCTGTAGATATAAATAAAATTAAATTACTCGATCATACACTTAATTATAGTAGGAAATGCTAAACGTACGATGTAGTCGTGTCATACTGCGTAGTACTAATTATGGATCCTAGATGGGGTATTATGTACTATGATGAGATTGCAATATAGTGTGGGTAAAATGTTTAAGATGTCTTGAGTGGAGACCGCGTCTCGGCAAACGTAGTGTAGGACGCCCACAGGCCAGGTGGAGTGACGATTTGCGCAAGATGGCTGGCAGGAGCTGGATGCGAGAAGCCCAAAATCGATTTAAGTGGCGTGCAACGGGAGAGGCCTATGTCCAGCAGTGGACTGCGATAGGCTGATGATGATGATGACGATGAAAATGTTTCAGTACACACACTCACGGCTGTTCCCTGTTCAAAGTTGAATAAAAAGTGCGCGTCCGTTACCTTTTCTACTTTATCTGTAAACTCGTGGACAATAGTGTGGGTTATACGTTTTAAATATGTAAATGCTAAATCAATTGTAAAGACTGCATTGTATAACTGTTTTTTGTCCCTAATAAATAAAATAAAATAAAATAAAATAAAAAAGGGAAAAACGAACTAAAATATTACCAATGGCTAATAGGTCTCTGTGTCGTAACGAATATTCTATCTCATAATATATGATAGAATTTTTATTCCTATTATATCATACTCCTATTCATTCCACGGGATGAATATGGGTAGTAGCATTCCATATTCTTAATCCGTCACTACACAAACGAAGAATACGGAAGACAAGAGCAAAGAGACAAGCAAAGAGAAGGAAAATTTATAGGGATGGATAGAGGAGTATAGGTGTTATACGTTTATTTACGGTTATTTTCGGTTACACTACGATATAATCACACAATCAGTCAACGTTTGTTGTTTAATATTTTACTGCGAAAATATCTATTATGACAGTTGTGAGATCGAGAGTTGAACGTAACTGAATTGTGACCGAACTTCTCTTCCGAGAATTGGCCTTCTGATCCATTATTTCTTTATTTACAATGATTGGAAACTATCTAAAAGTAATAATACAATACAAGGGTCTTTTATGTAAGTATATTCACATGATACATCACGACATGACATATTTATTACGACGCTTTTGTTACCTTCTAAATGATGAATGAAATGTATTTTTGTAAGTAAATCTTTTTACATATTTTTACAAATCGGACTTTACAGCTAGAAGAAGCCGGCATTTTCTAAGACTCACTCTGGGAAGAAACGCCTTCATCTGTATGTATGTAACGGAATCTTTGGATTCAAATTTTACCCACTTTAAAAGGTCAGATTAATTCTAGCCTTTAATGAGGAAAAAATCCCCATCACTTATAACGAAAAAATACGCCTTTAAAAGCAGCCGAATTAAAAAGTAGAAAACAAAGTACGTCATGTAACCATCAGTACAGCTTATTAAGTGTATATTACGGTAGGTTTTACTGTCAGTTTTAGAACAATCAGAACTGACTGACATCATGACGACTACCTATAGTCTAATACAGTGCAACCATCTAGCTTGGCTTTGATGACGTGATGCGTCACGCTTAGATGAGTGTGTGACAGACGCTAAAAGTTGTCAGAGAATATTGTCTATGAGCATAACAAACAACTTTGGTCCGCGTCGTTATATAATAAATCTACATAATACAATACAATAATCTTCATCATTTAAACGATGATGCTTTAACAATTGGCATTGATCTATTCTTAAAAAATATCAACGCATAATATAGTAATAACTAGACATCGGATTATATGCACTATCAAAATGCCAAAATATGCATGCAAATATGCATTAAAGGGGGGCGAAATATGCACAATCAAAAAAACCATTTATTATTAGAATTTAAATTTATTTTCATTTTATTTTTATATCATCATCAACAGCCTTTACTAGTCCACTGTTGAACATAGGCCTCTTCTTAGAACAGTGGTTTGCCTACTATATTTATATTAAACATACATATATACGCCGACCACTGCGAGCCAGCAGATCGTATTTAGTAGACATGGAAATTATTGCTACTTTTAAATCATTTTGATTTGCTGAAATGATTGGTTTTAGTCACAGCGATTTCAAATGTGATTGTGGTTACGTCATAGACAAAGATAAATGGCATTAAAATCAATCAAATCTTTTTTATAAAAGATTACAACCTTTTTTTTATTTAGCGTAATAATAACAATTAAGTAGCAGTGGTTTTGTAAATCAGTCACATGTGATTGTGACTGATTTACATTGTTGTTGTCCGTGTAGTGACGGATTAAGAATACGGAATGTCACTACCCCAATTCATCCCGTGGGTGTCGTAAGAGGCGACTAAGGGCGCAAAACAACGCAGGACGCCAGCACTGCAAAAAGAAGGAAAACTTGATACAATCCCTATACCAACCCGTCTGGCCAGCGTAGTATAGTAGGCCAAAACCTCCTTTCTAAGGAGAGGCCTATGTCCAGCAGTGGACTATTAAAGGCTGTTGATGAATCAAAAAGTACCAAAATCTGCAATAACGCTATAACAATAGATTTAAATGTATTTGCATAAGCAAGTGCATATAATCCGATGTCTAGTAATAACGCTCTTTATTGTGTATTTGTACCATTGTCAAATATCTCATGTTATTGTCTAGAATTTAAAACAATAGTTTTAGAGTTAGTTCGAAATGTTTGGATTTGCATCTTTGTAAACGAACCTTTCTATGGCCAAACATTAGCGTAAAAAGTAAAAAAAACAGTTAAAGACAGATTTCTATTCCTGATAATTAAAAAAAATATGTAATACAAAAATATTTATAGTAATAAAATTATGTTACAAATATATGAGATTATTTACGTCTTTTACGTTATTTTAAGTCTATCAAAGAGCAATCTCAGGGTTAGCCAAATGAAAATAAAACAACGTGCCAATCTAGTAAATTATCTACATCACAAAAATTTCCTTATAAAAATTGGTTGTAATTTATCTGTGAATTGCATGTATTTAATAATATATAACTGTATTTATCAGCAGTCGGGATTCCGTACCACAGGCTTAGCATAGTTGGGGATCAGTGTTTGTAAAATAAAAAGAAACTGAAATTTCATTAATCAGAAAATTAATGAGTATTTGCAAAATCATAGCATAAAAACCGACCTGTTTGATCTCTATTACTATTGTCACTAAACAAAATTTATTTTTTACAAGATTATATCGTGCGAAGAATTGTACGCAACGTACAACATACATTAAGGATGAGATCCACTGTCAGAATAGACATTAGACAGACATAGACATCATTTCAAACCTCTATATGTAGCTAGCAGTGGTGTGTAATTACGTAAATTACTAACTAAACATACTCAAAGAGAAACGGTCAAGTTGGAATAATAAAGAAATAAAAAATTATACTCTGCGAAGTAATCAAAACTTTTTTAAAGTTTTTCGTAAACGCATTAAACTTTTATTTTGACATAGACATCTTAAACATATTAAAAAAAGAAGTATATCAGGGTTGTAAGGGCCACGGATGAACACATTTAATATAATATAACAAAAAAATAACTTACTAGACACCAAAATGTTAGAAAAACTCCTCTAGCTTTAATGGGCATGTTAGCGAAATCCTCCGAAGGCACAGGCAGATCCACATATTGTTGGTCGTACCAAATCGCGTAAGAATTTAAAGCCACAATAAATGAATGAAATAAAAACAGCATTTTCTTAATTCTCCGTTATTAAAGTCGGTTAATAAATTGTACGTCCGTGCGACTCTGTATCTATGACTGTACTGATGTCTGATTGTAGTTATGTATTAAACTGGCATTGATTGAGAAATTTATTATTGCCTAGAATCAAATAAAGAAGACTGAATGAAGTTTTATTCAAAGAACGAGTCTCATTCTTATATGTCGATGCTTTGATCAGTAGTTTAGATTATATTATTTTATACAATCACATAGGCTTGAGAAATACCTACTATAACATCAACATTTATGTTGGAATAAAAGCAAAAGCAAATAAAATAAAAGCTATTTTATATCCACTCCAAAACTTTATCACAAGAGCCTCAAGGCCGAAATTAAATACGATCATTATTTAGAAACCTATTCCCATGGGGTACAAAGTTTTATTTCTAGATATCTGTGGCACATTATAGGTTTTTTAAGCCGGTGAGAATAAAATCTTAGAAGTCTGAGGAATGAGGAGGAAGTTTGGATCAGTTTTTGATGTCATTTATCAAGTCAATTCAATTTAATTTTTCATTCTTTAGAATCCTTAATCAATCGCTTATACGAATAATACAATGTTTCCTTATTTGAATTTTCCTTTTTTAATTTTTGCCTGTCATCATAAAAATACCATTTTCTATTTTTACAACATTATAATAATTCATTTATAATTTGAAAATAAGTGTACATTCACATAAACATTAATGATTTTTATTCACCAATCTTTTCAGTTACTGGAAAGATAAGTAATAAGAGAGAACTAGCTTGAGAGGGCTTGGATATAATCAAGTGCGGGTTTTACATAAAACGATTTAACTCAAGTAAATTAAGCTTAGTGGGAACCAAACTTTTTTTTGCAGTTACAAAGCAATTTACAATTTTTATAATAAATATAATATTATGTCGAAAGCTTTACGTCCCGGATTACGAAAACAGAGTAATGTTTTTCTAACTTATTTTGTATAATATATAGGGTGCGATATGTAAATTAAATGAATTTCTAAGTTTTATTAACATGATGTATAATGACCTGCTGTCATGGTGTTCTTAAATGACTAATAAGAGTATATAATATACTACAATTAACCTTTAAAAGTATAAGTAAAGTAATTAATGTGACTGGCCTTTCAATCTGTTTAGCGATGTTTATTGCTAAGCCAGAGGTCAAAGGTTCGACTTCCACCCAGGACGATGGTTGGTGATGAGCACTGACTATTTGTTCTGTGTCTGAGAGTAATTTATCTTATGATATAAATGCTATTACGTCTCTTTACATAGTATAAAATGCTAAGCTTAGATTTTTCATACGCATGGTACGCAACCGTTTTTGTATTGTATTTCTATTGCATATCTTAAAAAAAACTACAATAAAATCCGTGATGATATATATATTTATATATATCCTAAGGATAACCCACGGTAACCATTTTTATCTTTTACATATTACAAAAAATTTAAGGGTTATTTATAAAGCTATTTTAAACAATACATTATTATTCCCTATCCAATTAGATACGTTAGATACATGGTACATTTAGTGTAGATCAAAATTGACGGTTGGCAGAGGCCGGTAGGCGCGGTGAAAGCCTATAAAATATTGTAGGTATATAAAGATATTCTGTAGTATATAGTCACAATAATATTATAATGACTGCACGGATGGCGTAGTGGTTTAAGCGGTCGCCACGCCGCTCACTACTACGCTGAGTGTTGTGGGTCCGATCCCCACATAAGACGACACTTTGTGTGATCCGCAAATTGTTGTTCTGAGTCTGGGTGTCCTTTGTGTCCTTTTTATGTATGTTTGTGAAGTCCCCCGCGACACGGAATTTATTCCTAGTGCGGGAGTTGTAAAAAAAATACAGAAAAAAATATATTACTCCGCACTGACACTACTTTATCATCTATATTGCACCGAAGCCGAGGCGGGTCTCTAGTGTAACATACGAGTGTAAGCAACAAGCTTTCGCTCGCGGTTTCGCCCGCCAGTATGGCATTTATCGCGGTAAAAAGCTTTCCTCAAAAAGCGAAGTCTCTCCATACTACATTAAAATCGGTTGAGCGGTTATTGATTTCTCATACAAATTTTCATCCCGCTTTTTACCCTATGTCCTTTCCCGGGTCTCAAACTATCGCTATACCAAATTTTATCTAAATCGGTTCGTTTGTTTAAGCGTCAAGAGGTAACAGACAGACAGATACACTTTCTCATTTAGAATATTAGTATGGATGATATTTTAAGGTATAATATCACTTCTTGTTTGTATATACGAGTAATATCATTGTGTATAAGTATGTTTATTCAAATATACTAAAATCATAGTCACCAAATTGTGGGTGTTTTATTAAGTCTCTTTGTAACCCTTCGGGGATGAACACGTGACTGTATGTGAATAGTGTGATAAGAGTAGTGTTATCACTTCTAACGCATGCCTAAATCCGGTTCGTGGACCACTAATAGCGTTCTGGAGACCGCCCGCAATCATTCTGATACCTTATCACCTCCTTTATCTACTGGGGTCAATGCATTTTATCTCTAAGCATAATAGTAATTAGTATATTTTTACTATGAAGCTGAAATGGATATGTTCTTCCAAATTAGTTTTTATTCAATTGTCGGATTTCGAGCAGGGATTCCCAAACAATTTTGGCCCTGAGACCCCTTTTCTAAAATACACTGAAACCTCAGACACCCATAGCCAAATTACTGGATTTTTATGGACTTGTTCAGTTTTTAACACGCTTTTATTAGCTTCACCTGTATGTTTGTTTGTTTGTATGTAACCGACTCCTTTGAGCTCGATTTTGCCCTACTTTGAACGATCAGATTTGATTCAAACTTTGCACACCTGTCAAAGGTCGATGACAATGCAATAATCCGATCAAAATATCCGATTATCCTAATTAGATTCGCCAGGATTAATTAATTTCTTTCCGCATCCTTTGCATGCGAGTAAGAGAGACAGAGCTAGTGCGCGAACTACGCATGCGTGCAGTTCCAGACTTGCTCTTTCGGGCACTCAGTTCAGCACAACCTTATAAAAACTAATATGGTAGTTGCGTCTTGTTCCTTATACTTACATATATGTCCCGACAAATCTAATACGCATTCTATTATCATTTTATAATATCCATAATATATTTATAAAAGTGATTTACAGAAAAAAACAAAAAAATTAACTAAAAAATGAAAAATAAATAATAGTTTAAAAAAACTAAAATTAAAAACACGCTTTTATAGAAAATCCAACTACAAAACAGAACGTAAAGTTTAATAAATTTGGATTAAGAATAGTGTAAATTTGATTAAGTTTGATTAAGTACAGTGTAAAAAAAAAATGAATGTACATTATTGTAAAAAAACGTGGGGTGCATCTGAAGTAAGGACTTAAGATATGACAGCACTTCTCTGTAACACCTGTTTGTGTAATAAAAATGTATGAACAAAAAAATTGTATAGGTAAAAATTCTAGATCCCTCAAAACGTACATACTTATGGTCCTTATATCTCGGCATTTATTACTACTATCATTGTTAACCGACTTTAACCGACCGAACCAACTTTAAAATTTCAACCGAATGACGTCAACTGTTGGACATAGGCCTTCCCCAACGCTGTCCACAACAACCGATCCTGTGCTGCCCCCATCCAACGGGTTCTTGCGACCTCCACTAGGTCGTTGGACCACCTTGTAGGGGTTCGACGACTCCGACATGTAGGCATATGTAGTTGGCACATATGTAGTCACATACGTGGACGCTACCCCAGAACTTTTTGGCCCCATCGGCATTTTTTCAGCTAGTGTTTTTTTTTATTTTGTTACCCATCGGAACTCCGTAATTTGTAAACCCATTTTTCGAGAATATAATTCAAGACAAAAATAGCAGCTCAAAGGAGTGAAAATTAAGAAATGTACTAAACTGTATTCTTTATGAATACGGTTTATTCAAATTCATCATGATGATGCATTAAGCCAGTAACACTTTTTTTAAAGTTAATTATGTCCAGCAGTGGACTAGTATAGGCTATTGATGATGATGATGATGATGTTACACAATTCTTTCCCCGAAGGACTTAAAAACTTTAGTGAATTAATCGTTCGTGAAGATATAATCTTGTTATGTAGGAATTTCGTCTACTCATATTATTATTTTTAAATAGTTACGATAACGATTTGCACCTCCGGTTAGCGGATAAACAGTTCAATATGTCAATGATAACAGTTCGTTATTGTTTTGTGATAGCGGAGGCGGATGTCTGGCCGCTAGTTCACGCAACATGACTTCTGTAGGCCGTTAATAAATATATCTGAGGGCTTTGTATGGGTTTATTTCACATCAACTTGATCGTCACGGTGTCTGTGTTTGTGATGTGTGAAGATTAAATAAACTCAGACTAGTTCCTCTGAGTTTGGGGAGGACCTGAAATAACATGGTCCAGGTCCTCCCAGAGTAGAGCCTGGACCATGACCACCTGAGGCCGGCCGTCGGGGTTGTTTTTAGTGGAATCACCACATACTCCTGGCTCCTGAGTCCCCGAGGAGCAGAAGATCCGAAGGAATTTTCCACCCCGTTAACAAAAAAAAGACCCCTGAGTTATATTCATATTTCTTAGGACATGTATACATTATCTGTAATATCAACGTAGTTGATTTCGCTGATGCATTTTGTAACTTTTCGTGTGGTGACGGATTAAGAATTCGGAATGTCACCACCCCTATTCATCCCGTGGGTGTCGTAAGAGGTGACTAAGGGAACAAACTACGCAGGACAACAGCACTGCAAAGAGAAGGAAAACTTGACACAAACCTTATACCAACCCGTCTGGCCAGCGTGGTTTAGTAGGCTAAAACATCCTTTCTAAGGAGAGGCCTATGTCCAGCAGTGGACTATTATAGGTTGTTGATGTGATGATGATGATGATTTTGTAACTGCGAAAGTAACTCTCCTTTTGTCTGACCAATTTAAATTTAATTTCGTTTAGACGA